TGAAATAATATAAAAAAAAAAAAAGAGTAACCAAATGTGGAAAGAAAAAAAAAGAGACATGGAACTTATAACTTTCCATTATTTGTAAGTAATATAATTTTCTCTTAAATAAAAATATTTTAATTATACTCGTTTAATTAAAACTACTTTTAAAACTTATTAAATATACTAATATTCAGTTTGTTATTACAGAAACTAATAAAGAAAGACTGGTATTACAAGAGCAATTTAGAAATATTTTTTTTCCTTACATTTCAGTCTAAATAATTTTTTAATCATTTGATATCACCTGTGGCAGAATTTTTTCGGGCTTTCAACGGATCAAATAAAATAATTATTTAACTAAATATGTAATTTTATGGATAGATAACAAACTAATTAGTTCCTTTTCGCATTTTGTAATTCATCATCACATTAAAAAAGAATAAATAAAAAAAATCATGAAATCTGTAGCAGTAACTACCGAAAAAAAAAAAGAGATCGACAGTGAAATCCGCGAATCGGACTCTTCAAAAGGGGTTACTCAAATGCATATTTTCATTTCGAAATTCAGTTGTAGTAATCAATAATATCAAATTTTAAAAGTTATGTGGAAATCAGTAGTAATAACTACATGAAAAAATAGAATGAAAATTTCGACAGAAAAGAAAACATAATTTTTTACTTCATTATTCTCAAATGAGAATAGAAAAATCGCAAGCATTTTTTTCCACTCTGATGTGCAAGAAAGGCATCTTTTGAATATACTTCTGAAGAAAAGATAAAAATTTTCTGCAGAAAAGAAAATATTTTACTTCTCATAAGAAAATCTTTCTGCAATAACTCGGTAACATTCTGTCACAGGGTTGATATCCAACTAAAAAAATTTATCTTTGTTTTCCCAAATTCAGTGCTGTTGAGTTTGAATAATTAGTTTGTAATAATACGTTAAATAGTTCTAACAAATATTAATGACTTTAATTATAACATTGATTTTATTAATAATTTTATTAGGCTTCAATATGTAAATGTAAAAATAAAATGAAATTTGCAAACTTTGGAAATGGGACTTACCTAGTCAAACAGTATCACTTCATTGTTAAATGTTGTGATGCATAAAAGTTGAGAGCTTGAATCTCATTGTAAGTTTAAATTAGATTTATATTGCAATAATGTCTTTAATAGTGCAATATGTATGTTTTTTTTATCTTGGGTTTATGAACTACTTTTTTTATATTGAGCACATAAGCCCATCTATATATCTAAATAAATTAACACATGGCAGTTACATAAAATTTTGAATTCGATGCGCTTGATCAAAGGTTAGGAAAAACATTAATTATAGTAAAAAGAAAGACTTTTGTAGTGTAAATTGCAGCAGAATAATCGCAAAGTCTTGACAACTTCCGGGTAGCGGCCCGTGAGAAACTAAAATAAAAACATTATCAGGGAAGGTCGAATTTACTACCTATTAGCGGTACCTTCACTAATTCAACTTTAAGAAAAACGGTAGTTTCACAAAATACTTTTTCTTAATATTTTATTTTTGTATTGCTTAAGAAACAATAAATCTATATTTTTATCCATATTTTTTAATATAGTTTTTAATTTTTCACAAATTATGTTTAAATTTAAATTATATGTGGCTTTTAAATCACGTGAATATGAAACTCTATATCGAATTTAATAAATGCAAAAATATAAATCATGATGCATAATTTTTAGATCGCGTAAATAGGAATTGCGATGCATAATTTTTAAATCGCGGGAATACGAATACCAATGTCTAATTCATGAATCACGTATATATAAGAAAATTGATGCTTGATATTACAACTGCATAAAAGAACACAAAAGAAAAAAATGCTTATTTTATTATTCAAGGTGTTAAACATTTTATTGGTGTTTAAACTCGCGTGAATACGAATTGCTACATAGGGTTTTGTAAAAGCAAAGCATAAATACAAATCGCAATATTGAATTGTATAATCTTGTAAATAAGAATTGTAATGTACGATATTTAAATCGTGTGAATAAGAATCGCAATGCGCAACTTTCAAATCGGGTAAAAATATGAAAATTGATGTTTGATACTAAAATCGCGTGAAAAAGAAGAGATATCAGCAGATTCTGGGCTTGGGATTTCTAAAAGGCTTGTTTGTATTATTTTTGTTTAGCCATAATAAATTAAAATTTAAAAAATAAATTGAATGAGCAAATAAATATTTTCACTGCAATTTTTTATTATTATTAATTTGTTTGCTTTCACGCCAGCCAACAGGAAGCAGCAACGTCTAAATTGTGAAATTACGAGCTATCTGGTGGGTGGGCTAAAATATTTTATTTTCTCTACATAAAAGAGGAAGAAATAGCTAAAATAAGTAAAAATGCGTAAGGGTTAGCAAATATGACAGAGCTTGAATTTTCTGTTTATTTTTGAAAATCGGAAGTAATTATAATTATTTTATATCAAAGACTTATTTTCAGAAAAAGCTGTATATTTATAATATATTATAAAATATAATATAAATAGTATATTTATAATATGTAGTATATTATNAAAAAAAAAAAAAAAAAAAAAAAAAAAAAAGAACAAACAGAACTTTTAGAGAATTGGAGTTTTTGATAAAAAGGCTGAAATTCGAGAGACATAAGAGGAAATCTGCTAAAAAGCGGAAAATCTCATCCCTGATAACTCCTAGCCAAATCTTTAAAAAAAATAAAATTGTAAGTTAAAAATCCATTTGTGTCTTAGCGATTATATTTGGCATGACAGATTATGTCGATTATATTTGGCATGACAGAAACAATGGCACTCAAGTAGCAATCATTAGATACATTTATTTGTTTATATGTGAATAATTAGTAAATCATTACACAAATAAATAACAAACAACAATATAAATAACAAAATTAAAGTACAGGCTTGAATTTAATAGTTCGATAAATATGCAGTAGCATAGGGATGAAATGTGATCAAGTGACGTTTATTTCAACAATCAAGAAAATTTGCAGCCATAAGTAGCTCTAATGCTATTTCAGGGGCAATTGGAAACTCGGGAATTTCAGTAGAACTGTTGGTGTATCGCACCTTGTAAGCAAAATACTGGCATACCTTCTGTAAAACATGAGAAGGTATTTCACGAAAATTTACTTCATTAGTTTCATTTTCAGAAAACTGACCAGGGCCACTCAACATGGCTCTAATTGTTCCTGAAGTTAGAACATATTCTCGCTTAATGATGAATTCGTGACCATCAGACGAAATCAGCTTAACGTACATAGCATCAGGGCCTTCACAGCCTCCGTATAGATTTACATCAGGCATTTTGCTGCTCTTTAATGTAATACTGTAATAGTGAGATATTAAATTTTCTGCCTTTTAATAGGCTACTATAAAGTATCCTTCTAATATTATATAACAATAGGTTAGCTTAGAGCTAAACAAAAGAACAAAACTTTTAGCAGAGCATGACTGTTGCCATATTCGTATAATTGAATATAATTGACAGTGTACAGTTAAATTTATTTTAAGATAAAAAAAAATTTAAACTAAAAAACTTAAAATGTCAATTAAAAAATCGTACTACTTTTGATGATAAACATTTCATTTTTAGAGAAAAGGGAGTTGCTTCATCGGAATCAGAAAAATCGAAAAATCGGTTAATTATGTTTTTCTATCCAAAAAGGAACAAAAATAAGTAGTCGGAAACATTTGCAAATAAAATTTAAGAAATGTAAATATTGTTATTAAACTAATTGAGAATGAAGAACTAAATTGTGCTTGATTATTTTGAATTATAATTTTCTCCCTCCATTTTCTACAAAAGTGAAAATATTGGTACAAGTCATTGTGTTGCCTCCAGCTTTTGAAAATGAGGACGTTTAGTAAAATTTTAAATAGAATTTTAAATGAATCATTCATACCCTCTCTCTCACCTTCCTCGCGCTCATTTTCATTTCACTTAATAGCAGCTCAAAATCAGTATAAAAATAGCAAATTACTCATGAAACACCTGAAAACTTCGAATTTAAATATGGATTGTATGCGACTAGTTCATAATTTTAAAGCAGCTCTGTTAAAGGAGTTTGGAGACGAATTGGTCATAAAGGACCTACCTAGCATTTCAAAACTAAATGAAAGCGAGGTGAGATCGAAATTAACACTTATTTTTCAATTTCTGATATTTTGAAAATACAGAAAAAAAATACTAAATTGTTAATGTTCTACTTTATTGTAAAATTTAAAGAGAAATCTTTAAATTGACATATTTCTATATTAGTATCTTTTCGCGTTAATTGCCATTGTCAGGGAGCTAAAGGGTGTTTTTATTCTTGCAAAAAACTAAAAAAATTTTGTTGTAGTTTACCTGGAGTGGTTACAAGTTAAACCTTTTGCATTGGGTACAGGGTTGGCAAGTTTTTGACTCATGATGGTTTTTACCGGTATTTACCTCGGTTTTTACCGTCATGTCAAAAACCCCTCTGTCATAAACGTCTAAAACTGTCAAAAACCCATAATTTTGGTCTTGGCGAACAAAGAACACGGGGCGCGCTCAAAAGAGCAGAAAATCAGGGTCATGGATCGTGGTTGCCGGGAGAAAAGTGTTGCACCAAGCAGACTCCTCAATTCTGCTTTTAACATGTAAAGTCTATGGCGGGCTTGTCANGTTTCCTTGCAACATTGCAATAGCCTTTTGTTATCATTGTTTGTAGTTAAGTTTTGTTTAATGTGCTTTTTCAACTGAATAAAAGTGTTTAACTTGACAAAATAGCAATAATTCTTGACTTAGAATTTGTTAGTAGTCACAAGTTTTGTTTAGCTTATTTCTAATATTTAAGAAATTTAAAATTCTTCTTTTTAGTTCTTGAATTTATTAATAGTTCCAAACTTTTTTGTTTGTTTTTTTTATTTCTAACTTCTAATAATCAAGAAGTGCAAAATTTTGAATCCTTTGCAAATCAAGCTATAATGATAAAAGCAAGTATCACTATGTTCAATAAGTATATTACAATATTTCTGTATGAATGTATATCCTTCTATTAGAATACATGTATATAGTTGCAAAATTAATAGCAATCATTGACAGCATTCATTTATAAAGGCAATTATGTGAAAATAATATATTGTCCGCTATATGCCATAAATGAAAAAAAAACAGTACGTTTTTGACAGTTTTTGCCAGTAAAAACACGGTTTTAACCACTGTCGTGTCAAAAACCAGTTTTTGTCGGCAAAAACCCAACCCTGATTGGGTTTAAGAAATTGTGTTGATAAGAAATTGTTCGACTTCTTGAGAGCTTCAATAATTTGAGGTGGAGTCTCGATAATTCGAGTCCATCTCGAATTATCGTAAATGTAAAATTTAATAAATATTTCAGAAAATGAAAACAAGGCAATTGTTAAATTTTAACATCATTAGAGGATCTGGGAACATAATATTACTGCATCAGGTTATTTGTACTTAAAAATAATTGTTTTATGCCTTTCGTTTAAACACACTATTCACATATATCAGAGTTGAACACACAATATCGTTTCTTTCAGTCATAGTAATAATTGTAAAATCAATCTTAGTAATTGTTCCATGTGTTATATGTGCGTTTGTCTTTATTTGGGAGTAAGACTGACCTTTTTTTTCACTAGCTCAGATTTATGGGAAACTCAATCAACAAGGACTCAAATTATTGAGTCTTGACTATACTTTCAATCTTGAAATTTAAAATCTATCATTATTAAAATATTTTATTTTACTGTCAATTGGTGATTACCCAATTGGTTTCCATATTGGAATCTGTACCTAAAAACTCTTCAAATTGTGATGATAATCAGGCTGTACTATATGAGATACTGGACGGGTGAAGATCAATTCCATATTGGAATCTGCACCTAAAAACTCTTCAAATTGTGATGATAATCAGGCTGTACTATATGAGATACTGGAGAGGAGAAGAAAGAAAATCTCATTTTGGGACTAACTCAATGGGTATAATTCGTGACCCCTCCTTAACAAGCTTTTATTTTTACAGAATATGTATATTAAAAAAATTTCTTAGTACAAAGATCCTTTGGTACTTAGGGCATGTAATTTGTAGCTCAAACCAGCACTGATACAGAAATATTCCTCAACTTTTCAATACAACATCATATAATAGTTTTATGAACTACCATAATAACTTCGTAAAAGTTTTAAAATAAATATAATCTTAAAACTCAGTTTCTATGTTCTTGTTCATTTGAGTAAATTCATACAAAATATTTCAAAAGAAATACCTATAGAAACTTAATTAATAATTCTTAATAAATAAGCAGTTTTCATAGAATTCTCTGTACACTTTCTTACATTGGGAAAGTAAAATCTATTTTTTAAATAGATTTTTAGCCAATTAATTATTCTATATATTATTTAAATGTATTGTATTTTTAGCCAATATTAAGCATAATTTATTATTAATGATTAAAAATGTTTTTGTAGTTAGCAAATGTGAACATTAAATGAAAAGCTTAATTTTTTGACTCCTATACTAAATCAAGAAATGATATTCCTTAATTAGAGTTATAAGATTTTTATTTGCTTCTTTTTTCTTTTATCTGTAAAATGTTAATATTATTTTATAAAAAACATGAAGATTTGTTAGTATTATTTAGTACTACATTTTCTGCATTATTTAGTACTATAATGCCAATACTGAAAAAAGTAAAATTTGTGCTTTGCTTATTACATTATTATCTTATAAACAAATGAACAAAGATAATTTTTCCTCACACCAAAAAAAGTTTATTGCGAAATTGAGCTTTCAATATTAAAATATTTTTTATATGACTAATAATAAGCTTATTGCATCTATTATTTTTGCAATTAACAGTATATTTAAATTAAAAACCGTTGTACAATTTTCTTCACTTTATCATTAGAAAATATGAAATTTATTTTTAATAAATGAAATTTTTTTAATGTATGATTTTTAAATAATATTGAATTGAATTTTTTTAGGTTCGTATTAAAGTTCTGCGTTGTGCTGTCAATGTTGCGGATACGCTAATTTGTTCTGGGAAGTATGATCAAGAACCAAAACTTCCATTTATTCCAGGTTAACTATTACTGAGTTTAAATAACTATTGCATAAATTTTCAATTAATATGTTGCATCTATTTAATTAGAATTCGTCTGAAAAGTGATTTCTATAATTTATAATCCACATTTCAACTGAATATTTGTCTGTGTCTATTCTATAAACAATCGCCTTATAATCTATATATATATATATTTATTGGAAGCTATTATTCAAATTATTATTTTTCTTCAGTTTCCATTTCAGTTTTTTTTGTGGTCTCTTTTTCTCATAGTAAATTAAATATTGTAAATTAAACAAGTTTTTATTAATTTTATATGTTAGGCATTTTTGACTAAAATTTATGCATCAGACATGTGTGCTTTTTCTTTGGAATTGATCTTTGAAAGTACTTTACTAACAATACGTATTTCAAGATACAGAAAAATAATAGCTGTCTTAATGAGTCTAGTGTTTCAAATTGAACAAGTTAATGTACAAATTAATTCTGAACTTTGTCATTTAATAATAATGGGAGAACTGTTTTTATTTATTTATTTATTTATTTTACTGGGAAACAACAGATAAAATGCCTTTAGATCTTATAAACTTTAAGTTCTAATAAGCTTCCTGATCTTAATTGTTAACTAATAACAGCAAAAAAAAAAAAAAAAAAAAAAAAAAAAAAAAAAAAAAANTAAAAAAAAAAAAAACAAAAAAAAAAGGAAAAAAAAATAGAAAGAAAAATTCTTATATGCTGATAGTTTTCTTTTCTTTTTTTTTAATATTTCAGAAAGGTATTTATTTACAACCTGTGAAAATTTTTTAAAAATTTATAATTGGTTTTAAAATTAGTCAAGTCATTATATTATAGAGAAAAATGTGAACCAGTTTCTTTAAAAGCTCATAATTCTACTATTTTACAGCAATACCACTAAGCAATATTTAGCAAATCTTACCTAAAAAAGTGACAATTTTAGAAACTTGATTGATGGTAATTATAAAATTGCTGTATTTGCTGATGCTTGATTTTAAAAATGTTGTTCGAAATTCTTTTTCTTAGGATATGAATTTTCTGGAGAAATTCTAGAGATTGGATCTAAAGTAAAAAACTTATATGTTGGAGATAAAGTCATTGGACTAAACAAAGATAATTATTCAGCAATGGCAACAGAGTGTATTTCCCAAGAAAGGGTATTAAGTTTTAAGATAAATTTTTTTACTACTAATCAAATAATTTTGCAGATTTTTGATTTTTTAAAACTNGTGAACATTAAATGAAAAGCTTAATTTTTTGACTCCTATACTAAATCAAGAAATGATATTCCTTAATTAGAGTTATAAGATTTTTATTTGCTTCTTTTTTCTTTTATCTGTAAAATGTTAATATTATTTTATAAAAAACATGAAGATTTGTTAGTATTATTTAGTACTACATTTTCTGCATTATTTAGTACTATAATGCCAATACTGAAAAAAGTAAAATTTGTGCTTTGCTTATTACATTATTATCTTATAAACAAATGAACAAAGATAATTTTTCCTCACACCAAAAAAAGTTTATTGCGAAATTGAGCTTTCAATATTAAAATATTTTTTATATGACTAATAATAAGCTTATTGCATCTATTATTTTTGCAATTAACAGTATATTTAAATTAAAAACCGTTGTACAATTTTCTTCACTTTATCATTAGAAAATATGAAATTTATTTTTAATAAATGAAATTTTTTTAATGTATGATTTTTAAATAATATTGAATTTAATTTTTTTAGGTTCGTATTAAAGTTCTGCGTTGTGCTGTCAATGTTGCAGATACACTAACTTGTTCTGGGAAATATGATCAAGAACCAAAGCTTCCATTTATTCCAGGTTAACTTTTACTGAATTTATAATTTATATAACTATTGCATAAATTTTCAATTAATATGTTATATCTATTTAATTAGAATTCATCTGAAAAGTGATTTCTATAATTCAAAATCCACATTTCAACTGAATATTTGTCTGTGTCTATTCTATAAACAATCGCTTTATAATCTATGTATATATATTTACTGGAAGCTATTATTCAAATTATTATTTCTCTTCAGTTTCCATGTCAGACTTTTTTTTGTTGTCTCTTTTTTTCATAGTAAATGAAATATTGTAAATTAAACAAGTTTTTATTAATTTTATATGTTAGGCATTCTTGACTAAAATTTATGTATCAAACATTTGTGCTTTTTCTTTGGAATTGATCGTTGAAAGTACTTTACTAATAATACATATTTCATGGTACAGAAAAATAATAGCTGTCTACTGTCTTAACGAGTCATTTCAAATTGAACAAGTTAATGTGCAAATTTATCGTGAAATTTGTCATTTAATGAAAATAGGAGAACTGTTTTTATTTATTTATTTATTTTTACTAGGAAGCAACAGATAAATTGCCTTTAAATCTTATAAACTTCAAATTGCTTCCTGATCTTAATTGTTAACTAATAGCAATAAAAAAAATGGAGAAAAAAAATTCTTATATACTGATTGTTTTTTTTTTTTTTTTTTTTNTTTTTTTTTTTTTTTTTTTTTTTTTTTTTTTTTTTTTTTTTTAATATTTCCAAAAGGTATTTATTTACAACCTGTGAAAATTTTTTAAAAATTTGTAATTGGTTTTAAAATCATTCAAGTCATTATATTGTGAGCCATTATATTGTCATTATTTGTCTAAAGTCATTATATTGTCAAAAATGTGAGCTAGTTTCTTTAAAAGCTCACAATTCTGCTATTTTATAGCAATGCCACTAAGCAATATTTAGTCAATCTGTCTAAAAAAGTGTCAATTTTAGAAACTTGATTGATAATAATTATAAAATTGCTGTAAATTTTTATTTTTTATTTTTAGATATGCTTGATTTTAAAAATGTTGTTTGAAATTCTTTTCTTTAGGATATGAATTTTCTGGAGAAATTCTAGAGATTGGATCTAAAGTAAAAAACTTATATGTTGGAGATAAAGTCATTGGACTAAACAAAGATAATTATTCTGCAATGGCAACAGAGTGTATTTCCCAAGAAAGGGTATTAAGTTTTAAGATAAATTTCTTTACTACTAATCAAATAATTTTGCAGATTTTTGATTTTTTAAAACTTTGTAAAAATTCTCTTTTAAGCATGTTTTTTTTAAAAATTTTAACATTCATATTATTTTATGTTTTTGAAGGTTATTTTGGACTTGTTATCTTGTATTGTCGTTCTTTTTTACGTCAGTAATAACGAAAAGAAAATCAGTTTATCAGGGGTGGTTGTAGGAATTCCGGGAATGTTGTATTATCCTTGCGGATCTAAATAGTAGGAGTAGGGCTTATGATTTTTCTGGGAATATTGTGGAATCCCCCGTTTTTCGAAACCATTGGTTCTCGGACTTTCGGTAATCAAAAACATAATCTGGCGAAATTTTCACAGGATTGTGCTATCTAAAATTCCAATTTTAAATCTTCCCGTAATTCCCGCTAACGAGACACTATATAAGCGTGATTCTTCGGCTACTTGGTAGAAAATTAATTTGATTCTTCTAGTTTGGTGGATTTTCGCCTTTTTGAATATTTGGAACTGTATTGGAATCCGCTAATATTGTGATTTTTGTTCACGAGGTTTGTTTATCAAATGTCGATTTTCGTATTTACCTAATTAAAAAGTTACGTAGAATTTAAAACTCCTATCTCAAGATTCTTGTAAGAACTAAGATTATTCTTAAATTAGTTACTATAAAATTGTGGCATTCTTCTTTAGTGAGTAATTTAATCATAAATCTTATTTAAAAAAAAAAGTATGTTAAATACAAAACATGTATGGTATGTAAATTGATATATTGATATCGATTTTTGGCACATAAAATTTATCAGGGTTTTTCCCTTGGTGTCATAACTACCTCCGGTTTATATTAACAACTCACAATGCTCTTAATTTGGCATACATCTCAATACATTGTCTGCACGTTAAAATTTGCTTAGTTACGTATGCATGTAAATAGATTAAAAAAGAAAAACTTTAAAATGATATGTGCAGTAGTTGTATAAGAACCTGTATATCTCTGTAACTTTTAAAATTAGAAAAGGAATGAAAAAAAGTTAAAAATTCTTGTGAAATATTTGACTTGATTTTCATTATGATTTTCCACGTCTTTGAAGACTAGAGTTAACATTCTGTGTATCAAATTTTAATTCTTACTTCATATAACCTTAAATTAGTGCAGTTATACACTTTTCCATGATTCTATAATATTCAAATCCTAATATTGGTTTTGGACAAATTTCCTGAAAATGGTTCATAGTTTTATTATCTATCTATTAAAAGAATTGTTCATAAGTTTATTTGTTTTCAAAATTTAAAAATTTTGAGAGTTAATTCTTTAAATCTCAAAATTGTAATTTATTTATTTATTTTATTTTTGTAGGATTTATGGAAAATTCCTCAAGATGTTTCAATTGATAGTGCAGCTGCCTTAGTTGATAGTTATGCTACAGTTTTAATTGCTGCTAGAAGAGCTAATCTGAAAGAACAGTATGATTTTTTAGTTTTTTTCAAATTCATATGATGTATTTTATGTGCTGTAAATTAATATGAAGGAAATGATAGCTTTGATAAAATTTCGCAAATACCCGTGATTCAAATTTCTGTCATTCAAATAAGTACCCTTAATGCATAGTTGTCTCTTTAAGTTTTTTTTTTAAAGTATTTATGTTTATTTAACTTGTTTTTTTATGAAATATAATAATTCTTATTATTGACTAATATCATGAATGTACTAAACTTCTATTGATTTTTTTTTTTTAATTTAAAGAAAATGTAAATTAAGAACATTTTTTAGTTTTGTTATGTGTTTCTATTAAGTTAGTCATGTGCCACATTAAATTATGTACCACATTAAATTATTAAATATTTTTTGTTGTTGCTGTTAAAAACAATGTAGCATATAAGTATTTATTTTGAAAAAAAAAATCATTTGAGATTTGTAGCAATATACAAAATTTTCATGGATGCATTATAAATTGTCTGCTTATTTAATAAAATTGTGTTTATTTTTCTTTCCTGTGGTTTTTTGTTCAATGATGTATGTTTTGAGTAAATATTATTAAAATTGTTCTTACATTAGAAACAATTGGGAAAAAAAATTACAAAAAAAATTGGAAAAAATTTATTTTTTTCAATGGGTTTTAATTCAGATGCTTCAGTAATTACGAATGTTAGCAATATTTTCAACACATTCTTCTTAGTTATTTTGAATTGATGCTAAGCTGGAATCAAAATTAAAGAAATGTATTTGCCTGAAAGTTGGAGCAAAATCAAGCAAACTCTGAATACGTGTTTTTATCTGAAATTAAATTATTTAAGAGAACTATCTTCTCAAAATGAAATTGTATACTTTTCTAACCAGAAAAGTGTGATTGATAACATTACTGTATCCTTTGAAAAGAAGTTTACAAACATTGAGAATACGTCTTTTTAAACTTAATGCAGAATGTTGTGTCATTTTTTGCATTGCAATGCAATATCTATTTTTGATTATTAAATATATTAAAAAGTATCCATATTGACCAATTTTTGATCAAAAACAAGACTTTTAGGTTTGTATCACTCTATTTATTTTTTCTTAACTTCATATGAGTCATTCTATCACTGAATATAATAAATTTTTTTTTTAACAAAAATAAGAACGATGAAAGAGGTAAATATGCACACATAAATTCACAATACTCAAAGTAATTATATTTAAAAATGAATAAAACAGTAATAAAAAAAAATCATTTTTTGATATGATGTATAAAGGTCAATGACTGATTTACAAAGAACAATTTTTTTCCCTTCAAAAAGTTTTTATTATAGCTTTAATACTTTAATTTTGTCACTTTTTAGATATTTGAGAAATGAATGAAATTTATTGATGTAAACTATGTAATCCTCGATTTTGTTTCTTTTTTTTTTTAATTAAGAATTTAGATATGCATATTTACCTCTTTAATCTTTCTCTTCTTTGTCAATATTATTTTATTACATTAATAGTTTATTTTTGTATTTAGTGATTGATATTTATACGATTCTTATATTTGTATTTTGAGTGTTAATGTTGTTATAAATTTCAGCGACACTGTACTTGTGACTGTTGCTGCTGGCGGTTTAGGATTAGCTGCTGTTGATTTAGCTGCGAACTTATTTAATGCAAAGGTAAATGGAATATTTGCTGATAATTATTAGGAAATGTTACTTATTTATGTCTTCTGAACCAAAAATGAATAATGTTTTCAAGATATAAATTTTTAAAAAAAATCATGAGTTTTTTAAAGAGAAAACTTTTGGCTGCTACATTTTCATCATTATACTCTTTTCTTAAGTTCAGTTTTTACTTTTAAACTTTAATTTCAACCTATTTTTTCATATGTACCTAACATAAAAATTGCATTCTAAAAAGGATTTTTACTGTGTGATAAAAATAGATGTTGCACAGTGTGATTAAAAATAACCTTCATTACAATCTTAGAACAATAAGCTGGTCCTTAACCGAATTTGGAAAAAAAAATGTAATATAACAATAACAAATTTGAGTGTTCTAACACTCTTTGTCTTGCAGAAAAATCCTAATTTTGAATAACAGCACCTATGGCGACTATTTTGTATCTTAAATAATTTTTGCTGTTGCAAACAAACCCAACTTATATCTTAATTACATTTGCGAAATAATTGAAGTATATTAACCATAGGCTGCTTTTCATTTTGTCCTCTTCTATTTGAATCAAACCTGTATTATTGTTTTAAGTATGTGGGTCATTAAAAAGTGATATTGTATGCTATCAAATTAATGATTCAGGACTTTTTTTTTATTAACAAGATTATTTCATTCTTCAGAGTACATAGTGTTTTTAAAAAGTGCTTATTTTTGATTTACGTTTTTTAAAAGCCCTTAAAGGTGCTTTTTTTTATTAAGAGTTTGTAAAAAGTGCTTAATTTTCTATCTTTTATTTAAAAAAAAATTCTTTGCCATATCTGCTGTCATTCTAAATTACATAAAATGCATGATTTTCATATTTTTTTCAGCACAGCAATATTTATCAGAAACTAGTTATTTCATCATGATTACATAAGGTTTTTGAAAATTTTATTGATTTTATGTTTATAAATTAAGAACCTTAAACAACAGAAAAAAGTAATTTTTATTACAATACAGACTCTAATTATGATTTTTTTTGGAAAGTGATTAAAAATATTTTTTGAGTCCTAAAAGTACTAAAAAGGTGTTTATATTTTGTTGAAAAATCTGACTACATACCCTGTTCTTGTATGATTATTGTTGTACAGTCGGCAAAAAAAAAAAGATATCACCCTGAATAACTTTCGTTCTAATGATCGGATTTTCACGAACTAAGTGTTAATCTTAATGGTTCCTGGGGGTGACCTCAAATATGCTAATTAATTAGTGCTAACTATTAATTAAGTTACGAAATCAGACACAAAAACGTACTTTCTCTGAATAAACATNGAATTTCTAAAATATTTCATAACACTCTGGACCTTTTTTTTCCCTTTGTACTATGTTTATTTTATTATCGATTTTATATTAGATAAAAATATAAATCCAATAACTGAACATGAAAAGATGTACTTTGATAAAATAAAGTCTTGTAACTATTTATAAATTAGAAACTAATTTCATCTAAATATACATTATTCCGACTTTTTAGTTATTTACTTTTTTAAATTAATAACTCGTAGTAACGCATATTTTAAATTTTTTTTTCTACAGATCAAAAACCATAACACAAATTTTTATGTTTAGCAAGAAATAAAAATTCTCTATTTCAAGAATTTGTAGAAAATTTAAAATTTTGTTCGAAAAAAAAAGACTTATATAGTTGAAATAAAGTTTATTATACAATTAAAAAAAAATAATAAATTCAAAGCAAAAAAACTTAATATACAATGATAATTACAGTAAATTTATAAATCTCACTTATTCCAAATTCCGTTTCGAGAAACTCCTGTTTAACTGCTTGAACTAAAATTTCATTTTTTTCAAATTTCAATATTATAGTTAACATACTTATGAAAATCCAAATATTATAAAATGGAAAAATATCTAATTACAGACATCCGAGCTAGTCTGGAAGGAAGACTAATACGTTTTTGATTAAATAATAATAGCAAACTTTGTCATAAGCACTTGTATTTTCTTAATTATTTTCATTATGTGTCCTCTAAGAGTTTGCAGATCTCTTCATCATTCAAACCTCGCTTACGAGGAGCCATCGGAATTGCTAAAATAACTTACTAACAGAGAGGATAAAACAGAAAAGACATCTAAGGAATATTTGGCTAAACTATTTTCACACCAATATTCAATATATGCCAACCTCCACTTTTTTGGAACCAGCCATAATCCTTATCATCAAGCCTCAGACATCACTTGCCCTGCGCATCGCCATGCCCTCCTTGAATTACGATCACGATTGTTACCACCTTCTAGCTATAACTTCTCAGTTTCTACTCAATCTATCACATATGTTTGTTGAATATACCTATCGCTAGAGAAACTCTATAAACATTTTTTCCTCATTGCAGACGACTCTTATTTTTATTTTTCTTATTTCGTATTTCCTTTCAAAATTCTTGTTATCCAGCCTCCTTGAGAGCCTTACACTTTCGACAGCTGTCAAGATAATCTTCTTTTGTTTTCCAGTTACTTATCTGCCATGTAATTTCATTATTATTAAGTTAAAATTAATTTCTATGCTTTTTGTTTAAGGCATTTCTCTATGCCTTTGTATTTTAGAGTGTAAATATTTTCAAAATTTAATTTTTTCTTTATATGTCATTTATACTAGTTGCTAATGTAATTTTTTGTGTTTTATATGTTTTATGTATGTTTTGTCAGTAGAATGTTTGTTCTACTCTCGTGTGCCCTGAATAGGGCGGGTCGAGGTATCAATCATAGAGTTGAAATACCTACTATATCAACTCTATGGTATCAATAAACAATATGCCAACCTCCAATGCCGAATTTCGCGAAACCCTCCTGCAATCCCCCCTCTCGAAGCCTTAACAATAGAGGGGGAACTACTTAAACCACTTATCATCAAGAGGAGAAGAGCAAGTTTGACAGTGAAAGGGGAAAAAAATGTGTGGTACAAATGTTGTACCGAAACCGTCTTAAAATAAAATTATTTTTAGGGTACAACTGTCGTACCCTCCATCCCCTAAAGGTTAAAGGTGCTTTTTTTTAAAAGTTTGTAAAAAGTACTTAATTTTCTATTTTTAATTTTAAAAAAAAGAAAAATTCTTTGCTGTATCGATTGTCATTCTAAATTACAAAAAATGCATGATTTTCACAATTTTTTTCAGCACAGCTATATTTATTAGAAGCTAGTTATTTTATCATGATTATGTATGGTTTTTGAAAATTTTATTGATTTTATGCTTATAAATTAAGAACCTTAAACGACAGAAAAAAGTAATTTTTATTACAATACAGACCCTAACTATGATTTTTTTTTTGGAAAGTGATTAAAAATATTTTTTGAGTGCTGAAAGTTCTAAAAAGGTGTTTATTTTTTGTTGAAAAATCTGGCTACACACCCTGTTCTTATATGATTATTGTTGTTCAGTACTTTTTCTCATTATATTTCAAGTTGTAATGACAAACTTGATCATGTAATTAAAATTTTTTTTTATTCATCTTAGATTTTATATTCTCAGTTGTTTTTAAAGTACTTTACTGTTCTTCATTAAGGTGATAGGTGCTTGTGATACAGAAGATAAAGCGAATATTTTAAGAGAGAAAGGAGCTTTCTCTACAGTTAATTATAGTAAAAAAGAACTTGTAAAAAGAGTGATGAAGGAAACCAATAATGAAGGAGTAAAAATTATATTTGATGCTGTTGGTGGTGAAATCTTTGAAGACTGCTTGCAATGGTAATATTTATTTGCTATCCTTTTTGACAAATTAATGTGTTTTTAAAAAGACAAATGTTTGAATTTTTATCTGTGTTGATTTGATCTCAAATGCCTGTAAGTAGTTTTTATATTAAATTTGTAACTATGTTGTATCAAAGTTTGATAAAATAATGTTGTTAAAAAATAAATTAAAATTTTTTTTCTCTTCTGTATCTTATGTCAGAACTTTATGATTTAAATATTTGCATTGGTGTCAGTCTCAGATTGCACCATTTGGTTGCTGTTAATTGCAATTATTTTTAAATTACTTGATAGTTTTCTCAGAAGTGCTATCTGTAGATGAAATTTAAAACTAATTTTGAAACAGATTAAGAAAATACTCCCTATTTTTCTAATCTGAACTTAGCAAACTATACATTTCTCCTTTAACAAACATGATACATTTTTTCTTTAAATGACTTTTCAAGTTGTCAGCCATTCTTGGGTACCTTTACTTTAATTGTTAGCTTCTTCATCTGCAATCTTTAGGAAAATTGCGCTTTTCTGAGGAAAAATAAATTGTCAGTGGTTCTTAATCTCCATTGTTATCCCTAAAAAACATCGAGTTATTGTTCAGGTATTGAACCATTGTTCTGTATATGGGGAGGTTTTGCTCTTTATTTTTTTTTTATTAAATGCATAAATTTATTGATTTTTTTTAAAATGTCTTAAAAAGTTTTGTCTACTGTGTTCGAAATTTTTCAATATCCCATAAAAAAATTTTCTGTCAAAATTTAGAATCTATAATTTATCATCTTTTTCACTTCTATTGTTGACAAAATAATAATTATTTTATTCATCTTTACTTGCATTATTCAGATAATAATTATCATTATATTTTTATAATTACTTCCATTATTGATAAAATATTTATCATTTTCGTTTTTTTGAAAAACATTAAGCAATATACACAAATATGCAAATACACAAAGAACTACTTTATTAGATTTTTTTTTATATGGCATGAATAAACTTTTAATAATATTTTTGTTTTGGCCTTTATTTTGAAAACATTTATATTTGTTGCCTTTTTTAATTTTTGACAAAAAATTATTTTAACTTAATTTTTATTCATTATTATTTTTAATGTTTATATGAAATTAGGTATTGTAGCTAGGTACTTTATTTACGTCACAATAGAACTGTACAATGGGCTATTAGCGACGGTCTGAGAAACATCCCTTAGGATGATATATGAAATTATCATAATATTTTATTGAAATTATCATAATATTTTATTTTCATTGCTGACAAATTAATCATCATGATTTTTTGTATTTCTGAAAGGTGTAAAGAAAGAGTGATTAATCTGAATACACATTATAATGAAAGACTATTATATTTAGAATTTTTTTATATTCTATAATAAACATTTTTTTTAACCTTTTTTTATCAAAACTTAGAAAATATTTTGTAGCATTTTTCACTACCATTATTTACCAAATAATGATAATCATTTTTGGTTCTTTGAAAGATGTAAAAAACAAATGACATGCATTAATGAAATGTCAAATGAAAATGCATTAAAACAAAGAATTACTTTGTTTAGAATTTTTTTAATACCCTATAACCATATTTGTGTTTATATTTTAGTTTCTATCAAAATTCAGGAAATATTATTTTGCTGAACTTTTTTCTTTTAATGTTGATAATTATGAACATTATTTTTCGTTCATTATTACTTCTGTGGTTGGTAAAATAATAATAATTATTTTTGCTTTCTCGTGATACTTCCCAAAATAACAACATATACTACAGTGTTTAGAACTTTTTGATAGTCTGCTTGTATCGTTTAATATTATTTGTGTCAAAAGTCTGAAAAATATTTTTTTTAAATTTTATTTTTATATTCTTAAAAATTGAAAATATCTCCTATCTTTTAATTTTAGTTTTTTGTTCAGATTGTGAAGTTTTTGGTTACCCATCATTTAAGTCATCTCTTCTTATCTTTTAGTTTTAAATGTTTTATGTAGTTGCTCCTAAATCATATGCCATTAAACCTGTGCTTATCAATCAACTTTTTTTGGTAGTATTTCTCCTGAAGGCTCAATTGTTGTGCTTGGATTTTCTTCTCGAAAGATTCCTCAAATACTTACGAGCCAGCTTCTACCAAAATCTTGTGCTTTGATTGGAGTTTCTTTAACTCATTATCAAAGAATGATTAATGAAACTTATCGAAATGCCGTTCAAGAAGTCATCAATATGTATCTTGAAGAGTTCATCGATCCTCATGTTGCTGAACATTTTAAGTTAAAAGATGTAAGTATTATTATTATGAAATGCATTGGCTATAAATTTTTAAAACATTAATATAAAATTTTGTTTATGAAAATTAATACAAATTAAGGTTAGTTTACTATCTTTCAAGCATTTAAGAATAAAGTAGATTTGAAGATTTTATGTAAAAATTATTCTTAGAATATATTGAAAACTTGTCCATACATTTTGCACTCATGTTTTTATTACATTAGGTGGTTCTGTTCCCTCTTCTTTCCATTGCCCTTTCGGGTAAAATAGAAGTTTACTGAGACAAAACACAATTTATGTAGTTATTTTATTCTCATCGAAAGGGTTTTATAACCTTCACTTTATTTGTAAAATTTTGAGGCCAACTAAGAAGTCAAGTATTGAATCAAAAATTTAAAAGAAAGTTTTTGAGTGTAGTGAACCACTGAGAAAAAAAAATCTTTAGATTTGCTTTAAATGATATTGTTGAACAAATCTTTGATACTTATACCAAATCCCCTCTTTAGGTATAGTTTATAGTTCTTGCCAAAGTTATAGTTACCTATACCTATAGTTTATAGTTCTTTTTATTTTAATATATAATAAACTGACTAAGTCGCTTGATAAGATTATTCACTATCGTCTATTAGTGTAATTGTAGTGCAACTAAACTAATTTTGATTGATTTGATTATTATGATTTTATTATATATTAACAACACTGATTTGATTATTATATTGATATATTATCACTGTATATTCTTGTAGTGGTATAATAATTAAATCAAAACTATTTAGTACAGATATAATTCTTGTCAGCATTATTTGCAAACAGATAAACTTATTCTGTTAATGTCATCATAAATTCCTATTGTAAAGTTTAAGAAATAGAGAAATGTATTCCAGTTCTAATATAGCTATTTCAAAAAATAGCATACATACTTCATTTCAGCACTTATCTTATGAAGCATGGAAAAAATTATCAATCAAAGACAAACAAGGGACATGATAAAGTGAATGATCTGTCTTCTTATTGTTTTTTTTTAATGTAACATGTATTGAAATTGTAGCATAAATTCTATTTTCTGAATGAGCATTGAAGGTATCAAAATAGCTATATGTAATTCTCACATTTTCTCTATTTTTTCTCACATTTCTTTCTGTTTCAATATTTTGCAGAACAAAGATTTTATTTCAGCATTTAATAGTTGATCATTATTAAAATTTTTCCAGGTGAATGATGCTTTGAAGCATGTTGAAGATGGAAAATCAGCTGGAAAGGTTATACTAGATATGTCATAAAATATTTTCTTTTTTGTATTTATATAGTTGTTTATAATAAAAATGTTTACTTTTAGAGCATATGGCAAAACTTTGTTTGTTATTAACCAGGCTTGGTGAACTTAATTTTAATATACTGGGTAATCATAAAATTATAGAAACTGTTCAGAATTTCATTACTTTCTATTTAAATCCTTCTTTAACTTGGTACCTTACTACTATACATTTGGGTTTGAAATATTTCTTCAAGAGACAGCTAGAATTAACTTTTTCTTTTAAAAAAGTTTTGAATATGCATTGATGCAACAAACTCTTGAAAAAACTTATTTTATAATTTTAAATAACAAAACTTTTAATTTCATGACATAAATGGTGTCTACTTTTCACTACCTTAAAAATGGAAACTTAAACTTAGCATCAGAGTTGTTAATTTTTCTGAAATTAGCAGTCTAAAAAATTTTCTTTTCTTGGAAAGGTTATTGGATAAGTAAATTAAAATAGACATTTAAAAAATTTATTTCACAAATTTGCAGTGCCTGATTTTAAATTGATGTGATAGTTTTTTAACGCATCCATTTTTAAAATGACATCTTGCACTTGGCATGTTATTAACCTATATCGATTTTTCAAAAATTGCAGTTAACCCATTTTCGGACAAAGGTGCGCGTAACACACCATTTCAATAAATATTCTGAAGGCATCCATAAATTATTAGTAATTCAATTGGAGGAAACATTTTCTGCTGAGAAACTTTTAAACTATTCAAGTTTTGAAACTTAAAACGGTTATTCACGAATGAAATTTTTTGAAAATATATAATTCGTCTTTTTGAGATTTATCATATCTTTTTATGATGGATTAAAGTTGTAAGTCAGTAAATAAAAAAAAGAAAGAAAGAAATTTCATAAAAAAACGTTCAACTAAATGGTTAGTTCATTGATTGCCTATACGCACCATTTGATTTCTTAAATAAAATGATTTTTCATACACGGAATTTTTTTGTCTTAATGAATGCAATGTAAGCATATTTCAATGAAAACAATACCACATTTTATATAACTTCTTTGCTTGGCCTAAAATGGGTTAAAGACAAGTGAACATGTTGAATGTATTATCAATTTAAGTTTGTGATATTTTTTATTACCAACCATTACAATCCAATTCTTTTTAAATATATCTATGATCATTTTATTATTAACAGTTTCGATTGGCTTTACAGTTTTTAATAACAAGAAAATAATCAGCAATACATTAGGAAAACTTTGTCAAATAATCTATTATTTAAGGGGAATTTGATAGAGTTCTTTGGTCTATTCTCTCTTATAATAACACCGGAATTTTTCTCCATTATTAATAAGCAATAGACTTTACTGAAAAGAAATGATGAATCAGGCAATTCTTGATTGGAAACAATTTTATACATGTCTCATGAAAATGAGTTTATATTCTAAATTTTAAAAATTAATCATAAAAACAAATTGTACTATTCCATTATTTCTAGCTAGTAAAACAAACATATATTAAAATTTCTTATTTGCACTTGTGAAATATTTGTCTACAGTATATTTAGTTTTAAAAAATAATTAATAAACCTTATGAAAACACCACTTCTAAACTCTTTGTTCATGATCATAATTTTATTATACAGTATGATTGTTACAGGAAGTGTTTGGAATTTCATGATTCAAAATCTGATTTAATTTAATGAAATTTGGTTACTGAATTTCTCCATTCATAAATACTTTTAATTTTATCAAAATTACATAACTTTTTGTGTGCATATTTTTAAGTTCAATAACAGAACAGTTACGTTTTTTTAATAGAATTATTATTGTACAAGGTTTGTTCGAAAAATTTTGTCAATGGTTTTATAAAATAATGAAAATAGAATATACAAATAAAATACCTTAAGTAGCATTCAACGATTTCCTTATAGTAAATAAGGGAAACTGGAAGAGCCTTGCTACGGATAGGATCAGATAGCAAAGACTACATTGGATGGCCCTGGCCTGTTACAGGCTGTAGTGCCTTGAAAGATGAAAAAGCATTTAAAGCAATAGCCATTGTGTAAATGCTCTAATGTATATTTTGAATAACTTTTTTTTAGTTTAACTTAAAGCACTGCTATCATGCGACATGCCACCTTCAACATATTCCTTTCTGTTTTTGCTTCCACACTATTCTCTTTTAGTAACATTACATGTTTTTTTTTTTGCAAATGAATTAGAAGCAAAACTTTAGGTTTACATATTACTCCTCTTACAGTATAACTTCTCTTCTCACACAGACTGTCTTAAATTGGACATAAAAGTTAGTTGACAGTTTCACATCGCATTTGTGCGAGCACGATTATTCCACTAGATTTTTGGACAAACCTTGTTTTACACAAAATGATAGAGACATCCATTTGTAATTGGATCAAATTGTTTTCAGTAATAAAATATCAAGAATCCCTCCTTATATTTTGATAATTTGAAACAGTATAACATGTCAATTTATTTGTTAAAAATAAAGGATACTGTTGCAACATAAAATAAAGCTTTATTTTCAACATTAAGAAAATATTTACAACTTATTATTTACATAAGATAAATTTGCAATAATTATTATATACAGAACTGTCCAATCAAATGTTTTCAAAGTTTACAGTATAACTCAAAATGAATATGTGTAATAAAAATTGCAACAAAATTAATATTATGTATTGATATTAATCAACATAGTAACTGTTAATAAAATAACATGAAATTTTCTATTTAGTGATCTTAAAATTAAATCTCACAATTTTTAAAAAGTACAAAAAATCTATTCAGTTTGTTACAGATTTTGGGAAAAAATAATCTTTAACATTAACTTTATAATATTTGATAATTAAAAAAATTTTTTTTTCATTCAGAAAAACTTGAATCAGGATATTTTTGGAAAAGTAAGATACTTTGGAACCCTAAAAAGTTTGGTGCCTTTTTTAATTAAGATAGTCAAACTCTACATTTTAAAGAAATGAGAAAGCTATTTTGATTTAAAAGCTTATAAATACAACAATCTTTATATAGAGATTCTATGACCTATATATATTCTATATATAAATATAAATAGTATTATAATAAAAAAGAATAATTTTTAGGAGACTTAATACTTTATCAAATTTGAGCATTATTTATAATGATAAACATTAAATTTATAATTAGTTTGAATTTTCAATTTAATAATAATAAAAAATTATCCACAATTTTTTTCTTTTTTATTCTGCTACTAAACTAAAACATTCCAAAATGACTTTAATAATAACAAAAACAATTTTTGTGAAGATGTAAACAAATTTCTATTAAAGCATAATTTAATTCAAAATATTTAATAAAAATTGTTATTTTGAATGAAAAAAACACCAAGTTTTTATAACTTAATAGTTAGAACTTTGAATTAATACTGGTAGGTTTATCGGCACCATGAGAAAGTTATTAGTAGTAAAGTTACTTAAAGGAAATTTCAAAAACTCATTGCTTTATTTTTTTTGATTAAAAAAAATCACTAAAGTTTTTTAAATTAGAATGATTAAACGCTGAGTTTGAAATATTCGTTTTGAAAAAGCATTTATTACCCTGACATTTCTTCTCCCTTTCCTCTTTTTATTTCAAAAGCTTTGCTTAGTTTTTCTTGAATTCAAAACATGGTTTACACAGAGGAGTGATTTTATAAGTTACTTTTAAACTTCATTTTATCCACTATTACAAGTTGGATTGTGAAAATATACTTTCTCTTATATATGGGCTTTTGATCTACTTTTTATGTAACTTATTATGGCAACACATATAATACTATAAATAGGATGCTTCATAAAAAATCAAATCTGTATTTCTTTAATTGCAAGTAAGTTGATGAAAAAAATGCAAATAAATATTTTAAGCAAGCTAAAAAAGAAAAATACACACACACAAAATTGAACGACTTTTAAAAGTAAATTTCTTAAAAACAAATGCAAATTAAAGATTATTATTTAATCTAAATATGAACTATAACCACAGTGTTACTTACTTATATTTCTAGTTTAAAATGCTCTTTATATTCTTAACTAGCTCATTGTTTCAAACTGAAATGTTTCTCTTTGATACTAATATTGTTTTTCTAGTAAAGCTTCTAAAATTAAATTATAATACTAACTATATATCCACTTTTTTAAATAATAAATTCTTATTTACTAAATTGATTATATAATGAAGCTCAATTGAAGTCTTACAGTTAGTGAAATGACGAGGAGCTAATTCAAAATGTTTACTGATCAAATCTAGTTTATAATATCAAATCTTTTAAAATGAAATATCTTGATTAATTTAGTATCTGATCTGATTTAGTATCTCTTTGAAGATTTCATAAAAAAATATATCTGATTATTTATGAAAATGTACATATTCATTCATTGTTTTATAGATTTTTCTTAATCATTGGTTAAATTCTTATATTTAGAAATTAGCACTGCGTCTGCTAAATTTGGTATTGTTTGCAATAAATTTATATAAGAATAAACTAAATATCTATTGCGAACAAATTAACTTTAAAAGAGGTAGCTTTTCAGAGCATCGCATGCAAATATTTTAGAGTACTCTCTTTTCTCTTCATTTAACAGGGTCCTCATTCACCCAGGCTAGTCAAAAATTAATAATATAAATTAATATTATTAAATCAATTATTAATATCAGGCATGGGATTCTTCCAAGCTATAGCAAAATTTCTGACTTTTAAAAAAAAAAAAAATTAAAATTCTAAATTTTATTATTAATTTATTCTTATTAATCATGATTTATATTTAAAGCTTGGCAGTTTGTTATATTGTCAACGTACACATATAGTAGAAAAGAATTTTTTTTTTAAATAAGTATGAAAATAATTTAAATATTTTCTTTTTGTGCAAAATGGCTTCACATGCTTTTTTATTTATTATTTCGTGATTTGAGTTGATTTTCAGACTTCTTGTTCTTTTACCTCTCTTATGCCTGTATTAAAAAATTAATTCATAACATAAAAGATTCAGAAATTGCACGATTCCATAGGAAAGAATTTGCTGCCTCATATTAAGTTTAGCATATGGTAAGATTGCCCATCAATGAAGAATTAAATATTGATCTTTAATGACACAGGATCAATTATTTTAAAACAAATGTGATTAGATATTTGCTTCTGTGTTAAATTTTGCATATTATTAATGATGAGATAAATAAGTAGAAGAAAAAATAACAAAAGCACTGTCACCAAAAAGTTTTTTTTCCCAATAAATTTCGAATCTTATTATAAAAGTCTTCAAATAACAAAGCTCGTACAAGGCAAAAGTATAGGAATGTAATAAAAAACTAATTGGTAATCTTAGATTCACACTGTTATTGAAGCCATATTTAAGCATTGACTTAAGTCTGATTTATGCTTTCATATATTTGTAAGCTGAAATTATATTTAGAGAGGAACATAAATTGTGGACTAAGTTTTTTTCTTTTTCTACAAAAGAGAGAAACATCTTTATCTTATTGAAATCTTTGCATTATGTAAAAGCATACCTGATTTGTGATTTTAAACATAGATTGTGGCACAAATTTAGTCAACTGATAAATAATTTTATTATCTAATATCCTGTTATTACAAGTTCTCAGTCTTAATAATAAAACATTTTAAGTTTTTAAATTAGATTGAATCCTGATATCTTAAGAATTTTATCGACTAGCATGAGATGATTTTATCTGAATATGAATTATCAAATTTATTAAAATTATGGAATAAAGTAGAGAATCATTAAATACTATATAGTACAATAATAGCCCAGCAAAATTACCTAAAATCTGCTGGGCCGATATCGCTTTTGATCGTTGGATTTTCATGATCTTCAAGTTTTTGGCTAAAGAAGAAAAAAGAAAAGAAAGCTTCTAGTGCATGGTTTTTGTGAGCAGAAACAACTACAATTAAATAACACATCAAGAATGAGGGAAATTAGTTGATCCACTTGATCTCTTTTTATAATAATTTCAAACCTGAAATATTGTTTAAGTGTTAATTAATTAAGTACTCTTGACTGATTTTTGTGAAGCTAAAGATTATTCAATGGAATGAAAATAAAAACTTTTCCAATAATCATACAATCAAAACAGCAAATTTAAGAGCTATTTTGCAAGAATTTTTTTTAAATTTTTATATTTTAGATTTTGCGATCAAATCAATCATGAAAATTTCTCGGTTAAGTGATATTTGAGTCAAACAATTTCCTATTCCGAATAAGTTAAAGAATTGTTCCTGTTTATTGGATAAAAAATTCTATATTGTATTTTGATAATTTAGTCCACACATTTATGTCACACTCAGCAGTTATGGCATTTGGTGCAAAATGTGAATTCACAATTTCAAGGAATAATTTTATACATCAACAATAAGAAAAACAAAACACATATAAGGTCACAGTAATTTACAACATTTATATAAGTTTTAAATATAAACATTTCTATGTTTTAAACCAACAAATAAAAAATGAAATTTTTTGTGGCACTTATAAACATCTCATATTTTATTCAAAGAAAGCTTTGCTTCGATAAATGTAAGTTTACTATTGTGTTTCATAAAATCATCTTATCTATTTACATAGTTAACAATAGAACAACCATAACAAAAGTGAAGAAATGAGTATAACATTAAATTTTCACTTCCTCTTACGAGGTCGAGATCTGCGTCGTTTGTCTGGCTTTTTAGTTTTATGCAAACGACCAACAGCTACTCCTTGTCGTCTTCTAACCACCAATTGCTGCTCAACAAGATCAGCTAATTTTCCTTGTTCTGCAAGCATGGAAAGGAAAGTACATATAAACTGATCGTAATTGTGTGTTCTTCGGCAATCGTCCACCTATAATAATAATTATTATAAATTATAGTAAAAGAGATATTAAGATATATCAATTTATAATTAATTGAATAGAGATAAGAAATTCAATAGATCAAAAAAAGATATTTTAAAAGAATGGTAAAATTAAATAAAATTCATGTCTCTTTTAGGAGTTAGCAAGTCGAGTCACTTTTAAATTAAAATACTAAATTAAGTATAGTTATGTTTTGATTTATACAATTGAAAACTATTTTATTTAGACTTTTAGTGATCATAGACACATAAGTTTTTTTTTTTTTTTTGGTCACTAAAGAAAGTATTGATTAAATATTTGCCTAATATAGAGTGAACCATATTTCAACTACAAAAGGATATATTATAATACAAAATATTCTTTGAAGTTTAATGAGTCAATAAATAAAATAGTACTTAAAATACAAAGGTTTAAATGCACAACTTATTTTGGAAGAGGGTCAAAGAAAAAAATTAATTTTAACCCAAGCAGTGAATTCGGTCTTTATATAAATTGATTACTTAACGCGTTGAATGCCATGGGGTCACTGGCGAAGCCAAGATTATGAGAAACACATAATTCGAGTAAATTTTTAATTTTTTTTTCATTATTATCGTTACTAAAATGGTTTGAAGAAATTAATGCAATATAGAACACACAAAAATAGTTTTATTTATATACACAGAGATGCCAACTTGCTCCGGACAGCGAATAAATATTTTCAAGTGGTGGTTTAATTACTGTGATTCTTGGTTTATTAAATTCAATTTAGTAGATTTTTATCCATCACTATTTCTAAAAAATTGGTAGGCTTATATAATTCGCCACTTTTTTCAGATATGTCATGCTAAACCTTTTAAAAAATCAAGCAAAATCTGTCTAATATTTGCAAATTAGTATGTTATTTACCGTTTGGCCAGACGGGCAAACCATGTAAAATTAGCGTGGCATTCAGCGTAATAATTATGCTTTAGAATAAAATTTACAATATGAATTCATCACAAAATTAAAAAATAAAGTATAATAAATTATATAAAATAATTAAAAAAGAGTATATCTATGATATTTTTAAATTGAAAAATGTGAAATTTTCGATATTTTTTCCTTTTTTTTTTTAAAATTTAGAAGAAAAATTAATTTTACTGTTTGGTTAATAATTTACATATTTAGTTTTTAAATAAATTTCTAAATTAAATTGAGCATGTTTTGGTAGGAAAAAAATACTTAAATAGAAAATCCATTTACTTCAACCCAATTGCCTTTTACCTGCCATAAATAAGAAAGAATTTATAACAGGTTTATTATTTGAGTAAAAATATTTAGCTATCATTATATTTAAATTGTTTATTTTTATGTTAAGGTACATATAATACAAATTAAGAAATTTATAAACCAAAATTGAAAAGAGCAGATAAAGAGATAAAATAATTTAATAAAATATATTACCTTATATTTTTTCCTTTTTTCAACTTCATCGTGTAAATTTAGTTCACAAATTTCTATTTCTGTTTCAACTGTTTTTAATAAGGCTAGTAAATCCTAAAATATCAAAGTTTTCGAACATAAATCATTTGCCAAAAATATAAGAGAAAAGTATTATCCTAAATCTGAAATTTATGTATACCTGACTAAAAATACAAAGGAAACAAAACATAACCAAATACTACATATTAATAATGCATATTTATAAATTTAATTATTTATAATTCAGATTATTTTTCCCTAGTAATTTACACATTTTATTTCTTTGTTTGTTTGAACGTTCTTCATTAGTATGCAGCTTAAAGGCTGAATATTAACCATATCCAACTATTCTTAGTTTGTACCAAGAAAGCTAAATTTATTGCTGACTAATTTTGTTTCATCCTTAAAAAAATAAAATTTTGCTTCCCGAAATTTAATAGTATTTTACGAAGTTAATGGAGTGATGATTTTAATATATGTATGAAATGTGTGGCGTCGGGTAAGATTATTTAAAAATAATCTAATTTCTGAAATAAAAAGTTTCTAAGGTAGAATATCTTATATTCAAACAAGAATTTTGAGCAAAAGAAAAAAAAAATTGGATAATAATAAGGAGGTAAAAAAAAGTAACAATAGATTTTTAAATATTTAAAGTTAAGAATGAGCTAAATGTTCCAGACCTATGAATTTTTCTGATAAAAGAATATTGACACAATTGAAAGAAAGAAATCAGATACAATTATTTGTAAAACTTATAACTCATTAAAATCGATTAAATAGTTATTTTATAAGTTAGTCATTAATTTTTCTTTAAACCACTTTTTATTGTTTCCATTGAATGAAAAAAATAATTTATAATAGAAAATATAAGAAATTTGTAAATCTAAGGAATCTGTGAAATAAGGTTGGTATTTCAAATGATAATAATATATATTTTATACAGCAAATTATTTAATTTCATTGTAATGTTATATCAATTAATATTAGAAATTTATGGAGAAACAATAGAAAATGATTTACAAATAGTTGAATATAGAGTTAAAAGACACAAGAGTTGTAATCAGTTATTCGATATTTAAATAGACTAATCCGGTTAAATGCCGGTTATCTGTTAAATGAAGTCTTTGAAGTATTATACAAGAAATATATTAAAAAAAACCCAAAGATTAAATTTCAGACTTTTCTCAAATCTTAATTTTTTTTTCCGTATGGCTTGCTATTGTTTCAAAACAGCCCTTTAATAAATAAAATTTCAATGAACAACCTTAGTAAAGATATTAATAACTTCATATTAATCAACAATAATCTTGTTGAAAAGAAATTAAAAATACCTTTGGAGCAAAGTGATGAGGTTCAATTAGTTGAGGATGTTTAGACATACAACTATCCTGTTTCGATGATTCATCTGACTTATTAGGCTCCACTGAATGTTTATCATCAGAAATATTCAGCTTTAAACTACTCGATGTATTGCATGCTGAATCACTTCTCAGTTTCTTGAAAGGTATTTCTTCAGAAGATTTGCCACATGAGCTCTCAAAACTCCTCCTGGCACTATCAATAGATTGTGGTTCAGGTTGTGAAACTTTAACTTCAGGTTGAGCCTGAACATCACTATCACAGCCTGAAGTCATACGAATGACAACAAACTTCTTAATGTCTCTCACATCATCAAATATAAATGAGTCTAAAGGGCAAAGTGATTTCACAGAGTTCGGACTGCAACTGCTGTGAACACTTTGGACAGGAGAATTAAAAGCGCTGCCAACTTCTGATGATGTGTCAGTACTTGAAGCACTTGGAGCTGGGGATGTTTCAAATTTAGTCTGGATGCTAAGAGGTTGCATTAGACTAGATGAAGTGTCAATAGAGAGTGGTGTCATAGCGGTGTCTTTGCCTTCAATGGTTGATTTAGTATTTGAGCTAGATGGGGATTCCAAGCCTTCCCTTGAAATCTCTTTATCGACAGATCTTGATTCATCATCAGAATAATCAGAACCACTGTAATCCTCATAATGAGGCATATCAGTTCGACCAGATGCCAAACCTTCCATAAGAGGACTTTTAGCATAGTTGTGACTGTCTAAAGCAGGTATTTTGGGAAAGGGTGAAGTAGCTTCTTGATTTAATACATTTTTTGGTTTTGAGTCCAAACTAAAAGAAAAAGAGAAATTTAAGACCTCAGAACAGAGAGCAATTGAATTATCAGCTTGAATATTTTGTTCAAAATTATTTTACCTATATGGTTGTGTGCTTTCATCCTCAGTTGAACAAGGAGGTTTTGAATTCATAGCTGCTACAACTGCAGCATGGTCATCTGATGTTAATTCTGGATGAGTTAATTTGACAAGCTAAAAAATAAAATAAAAATATGAATTGCTTCATAAAAACATTCTTTATGAATCCTATTTTTATTTAAAAATTATTACATATTATTAATTTATAAATTATTGCAGGTTTCATTTTTTTCATAAACAAAAATGTTTACTATTACAATTAAGCTTAACTTTTTATTTTTCATTAGCTTAACTTTTACTACAAGTAAAAGTTAAGCTAATTGCAAATATTTTAAGCCTAAAACACAAGACAACTTTTTTAAAAGAAGTCTGATTAAATAAGAGTAAACTATATAAATAACAGTATTTTAAGATTAGAATTAACTTTTAGGTGTTTCAATTAATATATTTTTTCAATGTTTACCAAACAAGTATGAGATGAAAATACATGAGAATAAATAAGTTCTATAACTCTGAGCTAGTGGAGGGGACTCTGAATAGCTTAAATTTCTAAGTTGTAAACATTCATTCAACTGCCAATTTTTCAACGGAATCAATTTATAGTTACCACATAACTTTATTTGATTAGAACTTCTTTTTGAATACTTGAAATAACTCTACAAGGAAAAAAAAAAAACCCATACCAGCATGAATTAAAAAATACACACACACTAATGTATGGTTAATCATTTTCAGAAACTTAGGGACCATTCCGGCAGTTCAGAGTTCAACTTGTCTCTCTATTTGCGATTAAAATTTAACAGTTTAAAGTGTAATCTACTGGCTTATAGTTACAGAATACTCATTGGATTAAATATGAAAATTGTGTATTTAAATTTTTTTGTAATGAAATTTTTTTTTATTGCAATTAGTAAATTAGAAATAATAATAGAAACTTTTTAACCTGTTGAAGAGCTTCCAACACTATTTGCCGATTGGTTTTTAATGTCCTTAATTTTTGCTCATAAGCTATTCGTCGATCAGGTACAACAGCCATCAAATTGAAACGTACATCATGGTAAGGTTCCCCAGCTGTAGCCAGACCTAATCGTTCAGTCATGACATGACGAAATTTTTCAGTCCAGTCATCTTCTCCATAAGGTCCTGATAATTAATAATAATCTTTAAGCAACCTCATAAGTTAGGAAATGAATTTACATAAATACATATTGTAAAATGAAGAATTATAAAATAATTAAAAGGGCGAGTTTTGTGACACTGAGCGAGTTGGAGAAAAAATTTAATGATCATTTTTACCAGATTTGGTTCACACGTTCTGTCTAAATCGCACCATTGAGATTATCAATTTCCATACGCATATTTTTTTCAAATTCTTACTTTAATGAAAAACTTACTATAAGAATGCAGTGAAAACTAAAACTGATTGCACTTTTTTAATTATTTAAATATGGTAACTTTAATGATTTACGCCCCCCCCCTTACAAGCTCCCTTCGCCCAATGTTTTTTTTTAAAGCATAATAAAGGAGAAAACTGCATATGATAAGAAAAAAATTACATTAATGAGGAAGGGGAAGGGTTACACAATTAATACTTAATTTATAAAACTTATTTAACAAATTACTTATCTACAGTTGTTTTATTTACTTCTTTTTTATAATAATTAAATAGTTAGATAAAATTTTAAACTTTGTAGCCTTTTCTTTTTGTCAGTTTTTTTCCTTTTATAACTTTGGTGCAGTTATTTCTTAGTCAGTAAAATCAAAAAATATTTCCTATTATCTATCCTTAAACACGAGGGGAGTAGAGAAAGAATTCTCAGTTCATAAGAAAAAGATCTAAATGCAATAATAAGTTTCAAAAAACTTCCCTAAATTAAAAAGGACGTCTCTAAATTTCTCTACATTTAAGAAACTTTCTTAAATGTAAAGATAAATCTCCCAAAACTGAGAAGTATATCAATTAAAAAAAATTATATGATATATTTAATTGGAAAAAGAGGCATTAGGGACTAAATGTTAAAAATAGAGGATAATAGGGGCTTTACAGTATCCTGTTTGTCTAATGAGCCTGCGAGAATATGCTCATTCCATAACCATGGTTATTATTGATTAAGTAATAAATTAGTAACAAAATTGCAATTAATAGAATGTGAAAAAATTATACTATGAATTGTATAAACAAATAAATAAGTTTTAACCTAACCATGATCAATAGGATATGGTTTTAGTCCATCCAATTCAAATAATCTTCCTCCTATTGGAACATAGCTAACAAAATGAAAAGCTTCTACTGTTCGACCTGTAGATACACCATGTGATTTTTCATGCAGATGCCTTGGCTCTGGTCTAAAAACAGCATTAAAAAAATGTTCAACTCATTAAAAAATATATTTAATGAAATAAATGCATTTATATTGTGTTTTCAAATGTAGTAGTAATATTATTAATCTAAAAATGATAGGGTACACTTAGTGCTATGTAGGAAAAAAAAAACATGAATAAAACACAAACGAAAGTACAGAAATGGACATACTACAATTTCAGTGCAATAAAGAAGAACTTTCCTCAGTGTTGTACCACCAAATGATAGTAAAGAGGTAAACATGTGCAAAGTGGTTTAACTATTAGAGACAGAGGAACAAATTTGAACAAGATAGTAAAAAAAAGGAAAAGGAAGAATAGATGTGAGGGGGTGAGAAACGAATCCCAAGATGCAAAAGATTAAATTAGAATAAATTTTCAAGCATTGGGAGGTCAAATGATAGAAAAATCATCAACTAAATTATTAGAATTTATAAAAATATGGAATGATTTCCAGAAATCATGTTCGGTAGATGAAGAGCAGTGTTGAATGGTTTTTGCAGAAGAAAACACAAATCTGCCATTAGAGTTCCAACTATTTAGGACAATGAAAGATCACTTAATGTTCTGATTTTGGACATATTCTTTTGTGTTCTTTAGATTGAAGTTTAAGGGTACCTTTAGGTTGTTCAATATATGCAAGACCATATTGACATGAAACTTGATAAATACCCATATTAATATAGGGTTTTTAAGGTTGGAGAAAATTAGCTAGTTAACAAGGGAGAAAATGATTTTAAACTAAAAATTATTCAAAATCTTAGCAATTTGGGGACTGATATTTAGATAATAATGTGAAGCAATCAAATTGTTAAAGTTAGAATTGGAGAGTTTGGTGGATTGAGAAATTAATTTCCTACAGATGGAAACAATAATCGAAGGAAAACCATGGTCTAAATAAGGAATAGCTATAAGGTAAAGGAGCTCTTCATTAAAGAGCCAACTATTTGAACAAATTTTAGAAGCATGATAAACTAGTGTGCATAAGGCAGTTATCTTTTGGTAAGAGAGGTTTGAGGTTGGTTATGAGAGGTTGAGGCTTTTGGTTATGAGGAGGGAATTAATCCCTAAACAGTTTCTCATAAACAGTGGTAAGAATTTCATCACAATTATGAGTAGTAAGAACATCTAAGAAAGGGAAACACTTTTTATTATCTTGTATACACGAGAAAATGTACTTATTGTTATAGCCTGAATTATGCAACGATTGAGATTTTCTAATATAATCCTTGGCTGGAATCACAGATAGAATTCTAGATTATCTCATTCGCACTTCATGCATTAATTTCTGTTTTACTTTAATTATGTAATAAGAACAATACAGCAATTTTCCAGTTTAATAAATCCATTATCAATTTTTTAAAAGCTAATGTTAAAACGTTTATGATTTCAATTTTTAAAAGTATTTAATTACAATAAATAACATAATAACAAAAAATATATAAAAAATGCTAGAAAAATAACAAAAGGAAATAATAAAATTATTGACTAGGTTTATAAGATATCATTGGTCATATAGAAGAGATTTAATGCATAATAATAAATTGAAATATACTCATGACAAAATTGTGCATGATCAATAATATTTCATGAATTTTTATCGGTGATTGTGATTGTAAATTTCACTAAGAACTATAAGTTTTCTAATGGTATTTTAAAATTCAATGGAAATTCTAATTTTTCAGTTTTTCCAGAGAGACTGATCAACCTAAAAGACAGACTTTCTCTTTATTTGTTACTTTTATCTTATTCATAAAATTTGACATTTGCAAATCAATTATTTGTAAAACTAGCTTAATTTTAAGTCAGTAAATAATAAGTAATTGATTAATTATTTCTTTATGTTATAACAAACTTAGAAAAACATTGAGCCATTGAATGCTACACCAAGAGTAAGTGGCAATCATTTTTATTATAAAATGTTGTTTTTTAAAGAATATATTTAGCGATACATTTTAAAGATTTTTTTAATGATACCAAATCATTATGAAATAATTAAATTATTAAAAAAATGTCATAGTAATAAAGAGAAAAAAAATTACTTGGCATGACTATTGTGAGCTCGAGCAAGTTCAGGAGTATTTCCTATAGCATAGCCCTTATTCTGTAAAATCAAATAAAACATAAGAATGCAAATTAACAAATATTATAACTTTTGATTATAAGGTAAAAATATTGACATAAAATTAAACCTGATCAAAATTAATAAACTTTTTAACAAAACGACGTTAGCTATATTTTTAATAAATGTTTTAAAGTAAAGCTAAATATAAAATGAAAAATATATTGCAACAAACATCACTTTAAAATTCTGCATCAAATTTATTCAAAAGCTTAACTTGTACAAAACTAAGAAAATTTCAAGCATATACAGTGTTCCTATGTTCATAAGTTTTTTTTTTTTTTTTTTTTTTTAAGATCTAAGAAAGACAGTTATATTAATTATTGAAATTTTTGAATATTAATGAAAAGAAAAAATTTTCAAACTACTTTTTTTGGATTTTATATTTAAGTAGAAATATAATTCCGACAATCTAACAGTTTTTTTTTGTGGGTACTATTAGACTGCTTTTAATAATACCAAAAAATATTTTTAGTTGTAATTAGAGCACCAGAAAAAAATATATAAGGGATACTGGTGTCCCATCTATGTCTAAGGTTTAGCACAGCACACTTTTTATTTAAGCACAGCAAGTAACTTTTTATTTAAGCACAATAAGCTAAAATTTTTTTCTCACAATATAAATCTAAGAAATTATTTAAAGCAAGAAATTTCAAAAAAGTTTTATTTAGTGTAACCTCATTTTCTTACTTGATTTAAAAATAAATTTAATTGTTATTGCAGTGAAAGTATTTTTTTAAAAAAAATATTGAAATAAAGAAGTAAAATTATTTGCTGTGAACCTCATTGGTTACTTGTTACTGCCATTTATGAGGTTAGTAATTTTCCAGCTTTGCGAATTTTTTCACATTTGGCAAGTGAATGCAATAATTCTTATTTTATTTATTTATTTTTTGAAAACTAATATCCAATTTCCCTTTAAATTCCAGGTTCTTTCTGAACTATGAAAACCTTGTCTTATTATCAAATAAACATTATTGAACAAAGGATAGGGCACACTCTGTGCTATGTAGATTTAAAGTAAAAAACAATGTCAATAAAGCACAAATAAAAATACAAAAATGTCCATTTATGTATTCATATTTGTGCTTTATTCTTTCTCAGTTAAAAATTTTTAAAAAATAGTTTTAGCATATTTCCATACGTTGATTTGAAATATATACCTATAATTGCAAACAAAATTACTTAACCATTTGAAAAATACTATTAATAAAAATCATTATATAAGCTTTTCATTTATATGATTAACATGATATGCTATTAAAAATTAATTGGTTAATTATAGAAAACCATTAATAAGATAGCTTTAAATGAAGCACATATTTAATGTCAAAATTTATTGTGAGCCATAGTAAACAAATCAAAGTTCATTAAATCTCAGAGTACAGAAAGCTAATTGAGAATAGGTTTATTTAAAGTTTATTGCCATAAGCCTAAGTAAATTCAATCTGATTGATTTGTTTTTCTAAAAAACAGCTAATTAAAAATGTGTTATTGGTAAAGGAATATTTTTGGAATGACAAGGCTATAACTATGATAATTTTGTATTACTGCTTCTTGATAGTTGCTGATTATTATGTGCAATTGAGTGTTTCTAATTAGGTTGAGGAGTAAAGGTTTTGCTGATAGTAATATTTATTTCTTATTGGTTTATGCAATTGGTTTCCTACACATTAAATTTAATTAGCGGAATAGGTATAGAGCAAAAAAAAAAAAATCAAAATCACCCTGAGTTACTTTTGATCTAATGATCAGATTTTCATGCACTAGGAAATTCCGGATCATTAAATCAATTGTACAAATTGTACCTTTGTAACATACCTTTTTTCAAAGGACTGGTTCTAATCTTTTTGTCAGGAGAGCGGTCCCAAGTTTGGACCCCTTAATGTTAGTTTTATTTTTTTTGTTTTTCACCATATCTCAAGAACTTTTTAAATGAAATGAACAATTTTTGCACAAATTATAAAATTTGTTAGTCCAAAAATAATTCCATGCAAAATTTTCGTAAAATAATTATCTATCATTTATTTAATAATAGTCAAAAAATTTTGAGTTGTAAAGTATACAAATTCTTATATCATTTTTTAAAAAAAATGTAGCTTTATATATCAAAATACAAAATTTGAATTAAATCGGTTGAATAGTTTCTGAGAAATTGAATTTTAATAAAGTTATATAAGATCATAAGTTATTCGATGGTAGGATGATTTAATTTTTTTGTGTGCACTGTTCATTGATTAAGTATTTATACCGAAAAAAAATCTTTAATTTCATTTACATAAAATATTTCAATTCATATAAAATAATTTAATGTAAAAAAGTTCACCCAACAACACAGAGCAAAAAGATAAAATTACATTAAAAAGAAATAAAAATAGATATATTGAAGAATTAATTTTTAATTGTTTTACAACTGCAGCAGTTTATTTTTCAGATTTTGACTAAAATGTCCTGTAAAGAGTTACAGGGCATTGTTGACTCTTATTCTTTTACTTTTGTCTACTTGAAAAGAAGATTTTATTCAGACATAAAAGGATAAGTTTAAAAGAAGAGTGGCACAAATTGAAGATTTGTACATCAGAATTAAAAAAGTTTCCATCTATAAAGTAGAAAATAGTATTATTACAGAGTTAAGCAAACAAAGAAATTTTAAGAATAATTTTATACTGAAACATCTGTTAACTCAAACAACTGTTAATTCAAAACAAACATCTTTCTTTTTCTAGAAAAGAGATAGAAAGGAAACTATGGAGGGAGTAAAATATGATGGGAAATATAGGTTCTTAAGAAATTAAGAAGGTAACTAACAACTCAAAATAAATTGGAATGAGAACAATAGATTGAAAGCAAATTATGAAAAGAGCTGTTATGTATTAACAATTCATAGTTATAAAATTTTTGATTAATTTTGATTATGTTTGAAAAATAAAGGATTTGACAAAAATATCATGCAGACTTTTTAGCTATTTATTTTACGATAATTTTCGATAAATAATAAATATATTTTAATTGATATAGCGAAAAATTTACTTTTTAGCTATTTTAGACACACTTTAAATGAACTCATTAACCTTATCATAAATAGAATGAAGTACAAAGTAAAACTTAACTTTTATGAATTTTGATTATCTTTGAAAAACAAAGGATTTGACAAAAATACAATGCAGACTTTAGCTATTTATTTTACTATAATTTTTGATAAATAATAAAAATATTTTGATTGATATAACTAAAAATGTACTTTTTAGTTATCGTAGACACACTTTAAATGAACTCATTAACCTTATCTTAAATTGATTGAAGTACAAAGTAAAACTTCACTTTTATGAATACTATAAAACAAAAATTTAAAAACAGAAAAAAATTAGAATAAAATTAAAAAACATGCACTTTTTAAAATCTTACATAAATACGCTATATTTTTTCAGTATTTTGTCAAATGACAATTATGAAATATAAGTTCATAGAAAATTTTGACTTTTTGTACTAAAATTTCCTATTTGCATTGAACACTTTTTGTTTGACTTTTTTACAAACTTATTGATGGATATGGTATAACTTAAACGCTCATCATTATTTACTCCACAAAACAAAAACTTAAGATCTAAATTTTAAATTTTTTAACATGCGTGTTTTCAGTAGATTAAACCAAAATAAATAAATTAATAATAAAAATATATAAATAATAAAAAATTGCAGTAATTAATACAGAATTTAAAATTATTATAACAAGAAAGCTTGACAGACTATATTGAACATTACTTCATAATTGCTTGATTTTATGACAAATTTCAAAGTACATAGCAAAATCTGTATCCTTAAACAAATTCTTTCATAAATATAAACATTTTAATTATTTGTAAATGAATCTAACTTGTAATGATCTAATAAATGTAACAATTTTTCTAGAAGAGAGAATTAAAAAACAAAGAAATCTCTGAAGTAAATTATCAAGAACATGATAGATAACATTAGCAAACTTTTGAAATATTTATATTCTTCAAACATAGTAGGCAGTATATAGTACATTTTACAATGTATCAGATTATAAAATTTTTATCTAACACTAAAGGTTTTAATTTCTTTTAAATATTAAATGTCAATTTCACTAATTCTTAGAAAGTATTATAAATTATATGCATATGGCTTTTCCGACCACATTTATCATTATTGTGTCTGATCACATTAAAGTTTCTTTGAAAGCACACTTCATGAATGTTGGAAAATAAAGTATAAGGGTAAAAAATAACATCAAAACATTTAATACATAAAACTACCTCTGGATTCATGTTAGCTGTATGTTCTTTCAATCTTGCCAGTGTAGGGCCAAGGTATATTTTCGGGCAATTCAATAACACACTTAAAAGAGCATGAGTTGCACATGAATTAGGCACCATCTACAAATAAGTTAAAGATTTTTAATCAACAACTTTCCTTAAAAGAACAGCATTTGTGACTCATTTTCTAAAATCTTTTCGATTTGATAAATGGAGCCAGGGTGGCACAGGGGATAGAGAACTCACCTCCGAATCAGGTGAACTGGGCTCGAATATGGGTTCAAGGCTAAGGAGTTGAACATTAGTAGTCATAAACTAAAAAAATTTGGGTAGGCTGTTCCATGACGGTAATGAAATAAAACAAAATTTGATAAATGAAATTTTAATCACTAAAAGTTACAAATTAACTAACCAAATTTTTAAATCAACCAAACTTTAAAAAAAATTAATTTACAAAACTATAAAAATATATATATATAATATATAAATCAGGTTTGGGATTCATTCCGGAAGAAACCTACTTCTCAGAAGATGCTGAAAGAAACTATGAATGTGCAAATAAAAATTCCAAACTATAATATATAATTATAATATATTAATATTTATTTTATAAGTTATAATCAACTAATAATTGCAAATCTATAAGTAAAATCTGCATTAAAATTATCAAGCAAACAGCGTTTTAAACAGGTGTTTACAAATGCCGATAGAACATGTGATTTTAATCAATGTGAAAAAATGTAATAATCACAATTTATAACTTTGCTATAGTGATTTATAAAAATAACATTTTTATAATTTTTAATTCAAAAATTAAGTTCTACTATATTCTCTTAAGTAAAACACTGAAAGATATTTCAGTTACTTTAATTTCTTAAGTAATTTGAAAAATTCCCTTTTTTTAAATAAGTATTATTGATAGTTTTTAGCTTCCACTTATTTAAAAATGATGTATTAAAGAGCTTAAAAATGTACACTACTAATTAAATTAGATTGCAGCTAAAAACTGTTTTAAAATATTATCTTGAATATTTGATATTTTTCTATTAAGATTCTTCAGTTTGGGTGGAGTTCGAACAAAAAAGGACGTGATAACATGAGTCTAGTCTTAACTGAGCAGCTTCAGTTAAGCATTCTATTAATTTGTCTACGTATTTCTTTCTCCTGACCTTTTCCATTTCATTTTAAACTTCTTCTGCGCATTATAATAGGGGGCGTTGGTTTTTCAGTTTTTAGTGTTTTCTTTTCCTCTACTTGCTTTTGAAGTTGATGCTTGACCTGTGACTTAGTGAGTTTTTCTGATGATTTTGATTGATTTTCTTTTCTTAATTTGCTAATTATTTGGAATGTATCTTGTTTTTCCTGGACCTCTATACAAAACCATCGGGGTACTGAGGGAGATTTTTTAAGCATTTGCTTCTCCCTCAAATAGAAATGGTTTTGTTTTTAATGGCTACCGAGGTCGGTACCCCCTGAAGACGTCGGCTTCGATGGTCATATTTTTATTCTTATTTCATTCGTTTCTTGTAGTGATAACATGAGGTTGCCTATATAGTGAGGGCATGAAAAAACTGTAAACATTAAAAAATGTTAGACCTAAGCTGACATGTAGCTAAAAAAAATACTTGATTTATTTCAACAAAGCAATGCTTTACTTTAATAAGAATTTGTTAACTAACAGAGAAATTAATAATGATGTAACTTTTTTCTCTTTTAATTTATACATAAAAGTACCCATTGAAATCATAATTGAAAAATGTTATAACATACACAAGTTATTAGCTAAGACCACATGTTTAAACTAAAAATGAAACCATAGAAACGAACTGACATTTCTCCAAAAGCAATAAAACAATTAAACATGAAAAATATAATTTATAAATCTATTGTATCCTTTATCCTTTATAAAAAAACTATGAATGACGATAAATTACAACCAACTATGTTTTAGTATAAGAATTTATGATGTCATGTTGCTCTTCTTTGAAAGAGGATTAAATGTGTCTTACATTTATTTTATGAAAACATCAAAGGAAAAAAAAGTGGTTTAAATAATTTCTTCTAAGTCTTTTTTCTAATTAAATGTCTTAACTTCGGTTGCTATTTAATAATGAATGATTCAGTACAGACATTCCAATAGACATTAAAACAACATTTCATCTATGCAATTCCAAAATGGACGGAATGCATTGGTTTATTTTTAACGAAAGAGTCGCTTTAATCGGAGGTCGCACTAAAGAGCACAGACTGTATATATACAGAGCATCAAAAGAGGACTACTCTGAATAACTTTTGATCTAAGGATCGGATTTTGACTCTCTAGGACACAATCTAAATGATTAAAATAAGTGACCTCAAATATGCAAAAGAATTAGTACTGACGATACTTTAAGTTACAAAATCAGACAAAAAATATATATTATCTCTGAATTAGCATGCCTTTTATTTAGACGGAATCATTATTTTGACCCCCAAAATATAGGGGTTAGTTGCAATCCGGCAAATATGGTTTCAATAGTTTGGTCAGGAGAACGCTCCAAAGTTTAGACCCCTTAATGTTAAGTTTACCTTTCACATATTCCGCTATATCTCGGGAACTTTTTAAGCGAATTGAAATTTTTTTTATACTCAATTAAAGAATTAGTTTTTTTAAAGATAATTCCATGCAAAAAGTATCTTTTAGTACATATTTATTATTTTTTCATTATTTTAATGGTTGACAAAATTTTGAATAGTAAGGTATACAATTTTTTGCATAAGTTTTAAAGAATGTAATTTTATATGGTAAAATATAAAATCTTAAGAATATGACTTCTTGGAAATTCAATTTCTGAGGAACTATTAGACTGATTTTGCTCAAATTTGGTATCTAGCCATATTCCTAAAACGGAACAAAAAATTTTATACCTTACAATTAAAAATTTTTTTGAGCATACATAAATAATAAATATTTCTTGAATGCAATTATCTTTGGATAAACGAATTTCATAACTGTGTGTGAAATGTTTTCAATTCTTAAAAAGTTCTTGATGTATAGTGAAATATTCCAAAAGTAAAATTAACATTAAAGGGACTAAACTATTGGGACCATATTTCCCTGATTGGGGTTACCCTTATATTTTGGGGGCAAAAATCTGAATTCGTCAAAAAAAAAAAAGGTATGTTAATTTAGAGAAAGTACGCTTTTGTGTCTGATTTTGTAATATAAAATATTGTCTGCACTAATTAATTAGCATATTTGAGGTCACCACCTCGAGGCATTAAGATTGAGTTCTGGAATGTGAATCATTAGATCAAAAGCTATTCTGGCTGGTCTGTTTCTTTTTTTGGTGCACAATACCCCAAGGAGGAGATTTGCTATTTCTAACATAAATGCATAAACGCTTACCCATTGTAAATGCGAAAATGACAATAATTTAAATAAATTTTCTATAAAAATAATTTTAAGAATACCTGCTGAGCAAAAAATATTCTATTAATAGTTTCTTCATCTTCTACGAAACTTTCTTCAGCGGTTACTTTACGTCTGGATCTTCTTTCTTCAATCCATTTAAAAAGGAATATGAAGCCATAGACTGGTCTACGTAAAAGTTAAACAGATTATATTTATAAAATTAGATCTTATTTTTATAAATTATAAATAAGTATAAAATATTCCATATATATGATTCAACTAGTAGGTATAATTCGTTTTTTTTTTCACATTGAAACTAATTTTCTAAACATTTTAAAGATTAAACAGAAAGTTAAAGGGTTTGTTAAGAAATACTTATAAAAAAAAGTTTAACCATGAACCGGATAAATGAACAAACATGACCTTTTTATTTATTCTGATGTATCATTTCTAAATTATGATTAAAATAAAATTTTTCAGAAATCACACAAAGTTTTTTTTAAAAATGTTACTAAGATGCATCACTTCCTAATCACTTCGGTAGATTTCCATGTCGGTATCTGTACTAAAATAAGTGCCTAATTTTGGTAAGAATTGGGTACTTCAGCATCGATATGTTACACCAATTACAATTGCCTAGGCACGCCAAATGAATTTTAAACTTACAAAATTTAAAACAAAAAACAAGTAGACGTTCACTATGGGTAACGGCTATGAGTTATACATAACTTCAAGTTGGTACCCTTTTGTGATGTTTTTTTCCTAGTTTCTTGGGGGATACTGCCTGGAAGACTTGGGGATTATTTTGGTGTAGATCACGATATTAAATTATTCTCAATGCTAAAAGCTTATTTTTAAAATATTAAGTAGTAATTAAACAATGATCACTAATTCACTATCCTACTACTTGTTAGTTTGAACCCATTAGATATTAAAACAAATTGAACATGGATGTAACTCATATTGGAACATGGGCTAAAATTATCGCTATGTATTAGTGATAAAACAACATTATCACAGAGCAGAAGAACTTCACAGAAAGATATTAATTCAAAAGAAATAATAATTAGCCACTCCAGGGCAAGCTAGCATAAATTGTTTTACAAATATAAAAACCAAGCATTTGCAGTTGGCAAAACAGGATTGGGAGTATTTTTATATTGGCACTTGTTTGCGCCAACTATAATTGTCAAGCCGTCAAGAGTTTTTTTATTTGCAAAGATTAAAGAAAAAAATATTAAGTGTTTTACCCGGGAGTGGCTACGAATTTGTCCCCTTCTGAGATATTTTTCTGAGGTAACTGTGTGCCACTATCCGGCTGTTACCAAAGTTTGGGGATAGTTAAAATACCGAAATTGTCTTATTGGAAGATTAACATGAATGAATAATTGCATATAGAGCCCCATGTCTTGTTGTTAAGCACAGATTTCCCTTCATTCAGGGAAAAATTCGGTGGCATCACTCTATATTAATAACAGTGTAGATAAGCTCCAATCTGTGTGTAAAAAAATGCACCGACAAGTTTAGTTATATACCATGTTAACAGATAAAAAATTTTTTATTTCTAAATAAGCAAATGGTTTCTTTTATTTAGAAGAATTGTAAAAGCAAAGCCTTTATAGATATTAATGACAGATGTATTATAAAAAGAGCATTTTAATTGCAGTCCAATTGTACTAATGCGATAACAATTGAGCCTAAAAACAGAAATTAGTTTTGTTAAAAAAAAAAAGGAAATTGCGTAAAAATTCAATTAAGATAATTGAATGATTTCTTTTATTTTGAAGAATTGTAAAAGTAAAGCCTTTACAGATATTAATGACAGATGTATTATAAAAAGAGCATTTTAATTGCAGTCGAATTGTACTAATGCAAAAACAATTGAGCCTAAAAACAGAAATTAGTTTTCTTTAAAAAAAAAAAAGGAAACTGCATAAAAATTCAATTAAGGTAATTGATTAAATTACTAAAATAATAATATTTTTTAACATACGATAATTTCGAGTCAATATCCATGCGTGTTTTAATATCCATATAAGCTTTTTAAATAATGGAGAATATAAAACATAACATAAGAAAACGCAAATTAAAAAATAGTTTTTTTTAAAATAATACTTCATTTACATTAAAAGATGAAGTGTGCACAGTAGTTTAAAAGAAAAATTGAACTGTTTGTTTTCAACTTGATTATATGTTAACTTTAAACAATGTATGAACAAATGGTATTCCAATAATTTGTTTATAAAATTAATAACATAAATCAAATTAACATCGTAAAAGTAAACAAGTAAAAGTATATGTAATCAAAAAAGTAAAAGTAGGTAAAGTCAATATCAACAAGTTGAGGATTTACAGTACAAGTACAGCTTTCCTGTAGGAATTCATTGAAAAACAAGCAATCGTTTCAAACCAATAGTTTTAGTTATAATTTTTTTTAATAAGAATGTTTAAATAGTTACAAACCCTTCAATTGCTTTTTGCAAATCATATACTTCTTCAACTTGAACTCCTCGCACACCGAAATCCTCGAGTAAAAGAGTGAAAAGCCCTGCAATAATAAAGTAACAACAGTAAACTCCTGTTCAGTAGAAATCACTATGAAGATCTAGAGATATATAAATCATAATACACATCATTAAATGATTTCAATTTACCTGGATCACTTTCTAGTTCTAACCAACCTTCTGTTAATCGGTTTAGATCTGCCGGCATAGTAAAAGTGTCATTTAATTTACGATTTCGCACAGGTACGAAATTGTTACAGTTTAACAATACGTTATTAGGGAAAAATTTCAAAACATGATTAGGTTTTAACAGCTACATACTGACATTTTTAAATGTCAAGTTGCTACTTGCACTGCACATCTGCAAGTGTAAACAAACAGTTGATCATTGACCGTACCGCTGTTGTAACTACGCAATAATTGTTGACAACTTAAAGTACTCCACTTTTTCGATGTGTTTCTGTCAAGAATTTAATCAATAGTTTCATCAATTTAGGTTGATTGAAAATTTTAAAGGGTTTTGCCGAATAAATTATATAATTACAATTTATAAATAGTTAGATTATTATACATTTGTATAAATGCGTAAGAAATAAAACTTTTTCATCTTACTCGAGCCACCATAGCTCAGTGGTTAGAGCACTGGTCTTGTAAACCAGGGGTCGTGAGTTCAATCCTCACTGGTGGCTAAGTCAATTCTTTTTTTTATTCAAATGACCTTTTATTTTGTTCATTAATAAATTAAAACAGTTCCAGGACAGTTTCAGAAAAAAAAGTGATTTTTTTTTCTTTGATTGAATTGAGTTGATAGAAATATAAATACAATCATTAGAGCAATTTAAAGTACTAATTTTTGAGAGAAAAGTTTACTGATTGTTGATCTAAACCAAATGTTATCAGAAAACATTTGTTCAAATAAAGAAGAAAGAATAAGAAGCATGAAAGAAACTCAATCACCTTTTAATAAAGTTTATAAATTTAATTAAATATTTAACATGAAATGTTTTCTGTAAATTCTTATATCAAAAAAGTTTCTTATTTATATAAGAGATGGCAGCACCAGTTAAATAAGTTGGGAAATTTTGTTGCCAGATTTTAAAATATTTATTGATAGGAAGAATATATGAAAATATCACAATAGAATTTTCTAACTGTAACTATGCTCACGCAAATGTAAACAATCGTATTTGGAAAGCAGGGACTACATAAGGGGTTATGTTTATGTTGGAAAGTGAAAAATTAATTTTTTGTTCACTGCAATAGAAATGTCACATTAATCCAACGCTAATGCGGTTGAAATTATTAATATTATTATTATCACAGTAGAAGCATTTTAGAATATATACGATACATATTAGTATTGTAATTATGGCTCTGAGTAACATTTTTAGAAGAAACATTAGTATATGGACTAAAGGAAGATATTCCAATAAAACTAATTATTGTTCACAAGCTTACTTTCTTTCTGTTAAAAGTTATCACTCAGATAATTTTTCTGTTATTGGATCTGAACCTGATCGACATACTCCTGAATTTAAAGTAAATAATCATTCTATAGTATAAAATTGTATATCGTTTAACTTAGGTAGCATTTATTTAATTTGTTTACTGTAAGATACAAACTGCCATCACATGCATCTAAAGAGGTCGAGAAATTTTAAATGTAATCAATTTTTTTAAAATTTCATCTCAATACCTCTAAAATGGAGAATACTACTAATATTCTGCTGAGTTTGCGATTCGAATTATCATTTTTACTCACTTTCCAAATTAATTGTTTTAAACAATTAATGGAAATTTTCGGGGATATTTCCGTATCATGATCTGTAGCGCCAACTACAATCGCCAAAGTGTCAAATAGATTTTAAACTTGCAAATGTTTTTAAAAAAAATGTGTAGATGTTTGCCTGTGGGTAGCTACGAGTTATACCTTTCGAGTTTGTCCCTTTTAGAGTTGTTTTTTTAGCTTATCGCGGACCACTGCCTGGAAGTTGTTAAGACTTGGAGATTATTCTGCCACGGATCAGGAGACGGAAATTTCCCCAAGATTTCTGTGTGGTGAACAGTAACAAACAAAATAATTGTCAAGCCTTGTCAATTTCCGATCAGCGTTCCGCGATAAACTAAAAAAGATACTGAATGGGGAGTAACTCGCAGGATATAACTCGTAACCACTCCTGGGCTGGGGATATTTCTGTATCGTGATCTGTTGCACCAACTACAATTGACAAGGTGCCAAATAGAATTTAAGCTTGCAAATTTTTTTCAAAACAGACATGTGGATCTTTGTAGTCATACCTTTTGAGTTGGTCACTTTTTCTGATGTTTTTTTAGTTTCTAGTGGGACATTGCCCGGAAGTTGCCAAGACTTGACGATTATTCTGACACAGATCACGATACAGAAATCTCCCGTCTGACCTAACATGTTTTTTAAAAAGAAATTTGCAAGATTAAAATTCATTTGGTGACTTGGAGATTCTAATTAGTGCGGCAGATCACAATACAGAAAATCCCCTCACAAAGTTTTGGCGCTTTCTGGGCTGTGGCTTGCAAGAAACTAAAAGAAAAATCATAGAAAAGGACCAGCTGAAAGAGTATAACTCATAAGCATTCCTGACCAAACCTCTAGTTTTTTTTTTTTTTAAATGATTATAAATTATAATGAATTTAAAAATTAAAATTCATTCAACAATTGTAGTTCTCATGGCAGACCACAATACAGAAATTCACCTAAATTTTTGAGTATAATATTTTAAAATGCCAATCGGTCTGTTACAATCGTTTCTGTTACTAATTTGAATCTACAAATTCGAAAGAAATTATATTTAAATCCATGACAAATTAAACAGATTGATTCAAAAATAAACTTTATATATAATATTTGTATTAGGTAATTGTTATGTGATATTATAAATCAGTTTAATCAATTGACTGATTTGAATCAAAGTTACTGTTCTATCCATAGATTCAAATTTATTTGTCTAAAGATACTAACCTACAATTTTAGTTTGTTGTTTAATATAATTAGACTGATTTATCTGTTATAATTTATTTTATTCTAACTTCAATCGAGTGATATATCCAATTATACTACATAATAAAATTGCACATAATTAATGTTTGTGTATGAAAATGTATAATATATCTAATGCCTAAAATATGTGCTGTTATTTTTCAGGAAAACTATGTGAATATGCAAAATTTAGTTTCTGATTTAAGAGGAAAAATTCAACATATATCCCAAGGTTACCGGCAATTAGTTAATACTTTTAGATTTTTATCTATGATTATTAATTTAAATACCTAATTTCAATGTCTTATCATACTCTTATTTAGGTGGTGGAGAAAAAGCTATCATACGTCATACCTCTAAAGGAAAGCTCCTTGCTCGACAACGAATCTCAGGCCTTCTTGATTTAGGGTAGTTATGTACTTATTTTTTTCTTTAAAAATAGTTCTTATTATATGACTATGTTCTTTGCATAATAAGATTCAATTTTATAGGATATAGTATATATATTTTAAATAAAATGCAAAAAAGTACATTTGTATTAATTTAGGAATTGAAAGTTAAGTTTTGTGGGTCTGATTATGCAGTATTCTTCTTTACTCTCCATAAAAAATTTTTTTTGTTTATCATAATGAAAAAAATACATTGAAAAGTATCTATTTTTTTTGATAGCTAAATTTTCAATTGGTAATCTTTGTTATTAAAACTTTATATGAAACCTTCATATTTACAGTTTTTAAAAATTGGGTTTTGTACTTATTTATAGTCTTTTTCATGTATCTTAAGAAAGGAAATCAAATCAAACAAACAAAGAATAAGAATTATGTTCGGCTCTATCATGTTAATGTGGAAAATTTCTATATTGCATCAAGCTGGTTTCCTTCCTTTTTTTACTTAATTACCTTTTTTTTGTTTTAACACTAGAACCGCGGAGCGGGTCAATTTGACCCAAATGAATGTTTAATTCGTCACTACACAAAAAGTATTAATTGAAAAAATTATTCCTTTTATGACTTTTAATAATTTTATGTAAAAAACTACTTGCCAAATTTCAAAACGAATAAGATAATTTAATGGGGTATTATTAACACTTATACCTAGAACCGCGGGGTGGGTCAAAATGACCCGTAAATAAATTTGATACCAGAATTATGAAAAAAAATCATTTTTCCGTTGAAACAACGTCAAAGCATGTCTGCCTCAACCCTTGAAATCTGCAAATGGTATGGTCTGAACCGGTGGTGGGGGGATAAGTGAAGGATTTCAGTCAAGGTCATAATGAGTATGTACGTTTGGATGTGAAGACCATTCGAGCTCAGAGTGAAATATTTTGTTGACTATTGAAAGGTTTTCTTTTTGTTTCTATAATAAGTATGTCACGGCGTCGTAACCTTACCGTTCAGGAAGCTTTGGAATATTTTCAACAATTACCTGAAAATGATTCAGAAGATGACAATGATGAGAATGTTTCAATTTTGAGTAGTGGAGATGAATACCTGCCTACTAATGAAGACGTTTTGAATTCGGCTGAAGAAAGTGAAAGTGAAGATGACTCTGTGAGTCCGTTAACAATTCCTGGCCCTTCTCATCATGGTAATGATGTTAATTTGTCAGATAAAAATAAAACATCGAAAATTATAAGAAAAAGAACATGTACACAAAGAAATCAGAAAAAGAAATTAGCAGTAACTTTCGAAGTTGGAAATAATGAAGTTGGAAATGATGGGACAGTTTGGAATGTATCGCAATTAGGAACAAAGAACATAGGAAGAAAATCAAAGCATAATATTTTGAAGGAAGTTGGAGGCCCAACACCCCATGCTAAACGCAATATTATGGACGGCAGTCTGGCAAGTGCCTGGAGACTCTTCATCGATGAATGGATATTAAAACATATAAAGAAATGTACTGAAGATGAAGCTCATCGTCATATTCCTGAAAATAAATGGGTCGTAACATTAGAAGAGGTTGATGCTTTTATAGCAATTTTATATGCACGTGGCATATATTGCGCAAAAGGACTTGAGCTGGATAGTCTGTGGTCAATGGACTGGGGACCTCCGTTTTTCCGTAATACGATGCCAAGAGACAGATTTCGTGAAATTATGAGATTCTTGCGCTTCGATATAAAATCAACGAGATCAGATCGTCTACAAACAGACAAATTTGCCCTTGTATCCGATGTCTGGAATCGTTTCATTGAAAATTGTAAGACTAACTATACACCAGGTCCTAACTTAACTGTAGATGAACAGTTATTTCCTACCAAAGCTAGGTGTAGGTTTATTCAATATATGCCAAACAAACCGGACAAATTTGGCATAAAATTCTGGTTGGCAGCAGATGTTGATTCAAAATATCTGATTAATGGATTCCCATATCTCGGAAAAGATCACCAGTGTCCACCAAACGTTCCTCTTTCCGAATATGTTGTATTGCGCCTAATAAGTCCATATGAGAACAAAGGCAGAAACGTTACTACAGATAACTTTTTTACTACGTTGAAACTTGCAGAGGCATTAAAATCAAAAAACACCAGCCTTGTAGGAACTGTAAAACGTTCAAGAAGAGAAATACCTGTCTCTGTGAAAGTGTCCAAATCTGAATTGCATTCTACCACTGTACTTACTCATAATGACATCAGTCTAACTGTTTACCAGGGGAAAAAAGATAAAAATGTTTTATTGCTAAGTAGTCTTCATCCAACAGTTGAAATCACAAATGATTCAAAAAAATTGCCAGATACCATTGCTTTCTACAATGGAACTAAATTCGGTGTCGACGTAATTGATCAAATGACAAGAAATATACTGTCAAAGCTTGTTCACGTTGGTGGCCGGTGCAGGTTTTTTATAATATATTGGACCTTGCTGCTATTAATGCTTGGGTTATATACAAAGCTGTAACCGGGAAGTGTATCAGTAGACGCCAATTTATTCAAGGCTTAATTGAAGAATTTCGAGAAAAATTTGTTCTCGCCCGGCAGAAAAAAAAACACAAGTGTACGAAGGGACCTCTGAAAATGATGAGCAACTACAAGTTAAGCGAAAACGAGTTCGATGCCATAGTTCAAAGTGTGAGAATAAAACACAAGATATATGTACAAATTGCAAAGTACCCATTTGTGGTAAATGCACAAAACGCATTACTAAATTGTGTGTTGAGTGCATACAATAAATTGGATTAAAAAAAGTTGTGAAACAAGTGAATGAGAGGTATATTTATTTCGTGTATTTCTTTCATTTTTTAGTAAAAATTATAAGTTTAAGACTCTAATTTTTCCATTAAAATATAAAGGTTAAGATATATTTATATTAAGCAAGAGATTTCTAAATTGGAATAATTTTTTCAATAAAACAATATTTATTTCATTAAAAAAAGACATTTCTGGTTATTAATATAAGATTTTATGTATTATTATATAAAAAGATATGTTTCAGCTTTCTTAGTTAAATGATAACATATATTTTTATAAGGTTTATTATCTCGGGTCAAAATGACCCGCCCCGCGGTTCTAGGTATATTCGAAGTCCCGCGGTTCTAGTGTTAAACATATAATTAGTATAGTTATCCTGTAGATATTAATAGAAATATTTATTTTTAAGTATTTTGGAAGTATAATTCTTTTAATTTTCATGTAGCTCTCCATTTCTAGAACTGAGCCAGTTAGCTGCATATCAAGTATATGGTGCAGAGGAAGTTCCTGCTGCAGGGATAATAACTGGCATTGGTTTGATACATGGGTAATTTATTATTTTATCTTTAGATGAAATGATATACATGGTATGTTAATAGCTTTCATTTTTATTGACTGGTTTTGGTGTCTGTTGAGGCTAAATTTTAATCTTGCAAGAAAAATTAAGGCATTTTCTGGTTGCATGGAACCTTTGAATCTTTACTGGCGCTTTAATGACGATGCAAGCATCAATAATTTCTTGATCAATTCAAGCATAATTTATTTTTTATTAAATGCCAATAATTCATTATAATAAATTCATTTGTTTATTAAATGTTAAATGGAATTTGTTATCAGTGAAAATTCTGGTCAATTTTTGACATTCTGGAGTGTTTAAATTTCAATGAGAGTTTTTTGTTTGTTGACAAGGCAAGTTTCAAAGGTTTTCTCACTGTTATGAACATAGTCTGTTATCAATCGAAATTTTAACTACTTTCTAATTAGCTAGAGAACTCAAATTTTAATTGGGGCGTCTGTGGTTGATTACAATAAAAAAATTTGATTCGTTTTCTGACTGCTGCTTGCAAAATTTATTACCACTCTAAAAAAAATTCTGTAAAATTAAACTTAGGAGAGCTTTGGTTTTTCTAGCATTAATTCAATTTATATTAATAAAACTTTTTCTTACTATGTTCTTGTTTTATTTTCATGTTTTTAAATTATAAGAATTTTGAATTTCTTTTTATTCTTTTTTTCACATTTAACCAACAATATTTTCTTGCACTTGATCTGTTGGATTAATGTGTTGGTTTTGGAATGTACTGCCACTATATGAGTTAATTAAATTTCTGCTCTTTAGAGTTCAATTATAAATTCTGCCACTGCTTACAAACAAAAGTTATTTAACATAATAATATGTACCTAAAATATGTAACAAACAGTTTGTATTTTTTAGGGAGCTGTTAAACTCTTTTTATTAGTTGAAAAAAATTAAAAACAATATATTTCCTTTTTAACACTAGATTTTTTTGTTTGTTATGTGCTTCTTTAATTGTTGCAGAAATTTGAAGTAGTACGTTGTTTTAAAGCTTAAAAAATTTTGTTTAAAGGTAAATTCAAAGATCCAGCTAGTTTTCTCATTTTTTTATTTATCAGAAGAATCTGAAATTTAAAAGTGTTAAATTTTTTTTAAGAAGGGTAATTTGATAATTCAAATAATATTTCTTCTGAATTATGTCTTTGAAAATTTTTTTTATGTCTTTAGCATTGAAATTTTAATGAATTTAATATTAATGAATGAATTTATTTATTAATTTTTTCCTTTCTTTAAACTTTATTTAAAATTTAGTTCAGATTGAATTCATGTAAGTTTTATTAAAATTTTCATTTTATTATTTTAAGTAAATGTTTTACATTTTTATTTCGTATTAAATGAAATTTGACAAAATATTTGTGTGTTTCCAAGTATAATTATAGTAAAAATTCAGGTTTTATTTTATTGTTTAATCATAAGTAAAATTTATTTATTATTTTAATTTTTTTTTTATTATCCTTCTTTAGAGCTGAATGCATGGTAGTTGCTAATGATGCCACTGTTAAAGGTGGGACCTATTATCCATTAACAGTTAAGAAACACTTGAGAGCTCAAGAAATAGCCAAAGAAAACAATCTTCCTTGTATTTACCTTGGTTAGCAATTTTAAATTGATTCTTACTCCTATTGAAAAAAAATTTATGTGATAAAGTTGTATAATATTATAATTTTGTTGAGTTGTTAATATCACAATATTCTTTGTTGAATGGAGGGTTTTTAGATCGTAAGAACCAGTTTATAATCCAAACCATGTTAAACTTTATAAAAGTTAGTTAATACAATTATTAAATGCTTCTTCTGTAAGCGTACTATTTTTCTTCTAGAAATTGTAAAAATAATTCTATAAATGATTCATGTTTTGAATTAATTTTAAAGATATAATTCTTTTAAAGTAAAATAAAACATATCAAGAATAATTAATGGTCAAGATGAAACATTTTGCCATATATTAATGTTTACTATTTCTCTGAGCAATTTTTTATAAGTTAATAAATGTATGTAGTATTTTGAACTTGATACCTATTACTAAATCAAATCAACTTGCATAACTAACTTACTATAAAGTTTTTATCTTATTACATGTCATTGTTGTCACTTATAAAATCATTAATGATTATTATGTACTGATTACAATATTAAATCAAATTCTGCTAATATGATTTTAAATACAGCAGAGTGCTGATTAACTGAATTGTCCAATTTACTCAAACAATTTCAGACCATGTTTTTTTTTTAATGCCTTAAAAAATTATCATGAAAATCTCTTTTTATCTTTCAATTTTCTGAAGAAGGCCAAAAAATTGTTTCTTATTTCTCTGAATTCTATTTAATCTCCTTGTAAATTCTGTTCTATCTTTTCTGTTCTGGTTTGTTTTGTTTAGTTTGAATGAAGGTGGAATGCAATGTAAACCATTTTTTCCGATAAAGTAACAAATTTCTAATTTTAATGTAAGCTCAGCAAGTTTTTAAATTACTTTTGTTCTTGCCTTTTTATTATCGTTTTATTTTCTCTTTTACTTATTTCTATTTGCTATAATTTTTTTAGTGCTGTATATTTTTTTGTTTGTTTTATTTGAATTTCTTATTTTACTTTTTTAAATTAAAAACTCTTATATATTAAGATTGTTACTGTTTAAAATAAAAATACTTTGATACAAAACTGAAAAGAATACTTGGATAAAAATTTCAGAAACAACTTTCTGTTTCACGGAAAGTTTATAAATGTATCATTTTAACCAAATTTACTAGCACATTTCATGTACATACATTACATGAGCATTAACATAATGGCCAAGAATGTCATACATTAATTTCAGCCTCACTTATCAATTGTTTATAAGTCACTTTGAAACGATAGTTTTTTGACAGAAAATATTTTTATGAGACTATTTCAAATTAGTATATATCTGGTAATGAAATGAATAAGAAATATATTTGTATTGCTAATATATTTAAAAAAATATTTCTTATATTATTGTTTCAAAAACAACTTTTAAAACCATTGTAATTATTATCAGATATTTTTTTTTACTCTGATAAACTATAATCTAAATACCAATTTAACGTGAGTTTTGCATATATTTTACATACATTAAATAATAAATTTTAATTGTTATTTATATAAAAAATTATTTGTACAGTTGATTCCGGTGGTGCCAATTTACCTCGACAAGCTGATGTGTTTCCTGATATTACAAACTTCGGTAGAATTTTCTACAATCAGGCTACCATGTCTGCTCAAAACATACCCCAGGTACATTCTTCTATAATTGATGAAAATATATATATATATATTTTTGCACTGGTATTGATTTAAGGAACTGCTTATAAAATTAAATTTTAATTTAGATTGCAGTAGTTATGGGAAGTTGTACTGCAGGTGGTGCATATGTTCCAGCAATGGCAGATGAAAGTATCATAGTAAAAAACAAAGGGACTATTTTTCTCGCTGGACCACCTTTGGTAAATTTTCAATAATATGTTATTAATTAATTTCAAAAATTTGCCTGGATATTAGTATCTTTTTTTTTAGTTTACAACTTTTATTTATTTGTTCTTACACTTTTAAATAGTTTTCATCCATTCCTTTATAAATTCTGTGATTCGGAAAATACCATGAAGTCTGGTTGCAGAAGGTATCAAACTTCATAATTTGCAAATTACTATATTGTATTATTTTTGTAGAAAGATTTTGGAATATTAGGTATTTGTTGCAAGTTTGAAATAAAGCCATGAAATAATTGTACTAGTTCTTTATTTTAAAAGAGACTTTGCTTTTTCTGAATGATTATGTCCACATTAAGATAATCAAAGAAAGTATCTCTAAAAAATTAAATCTAGGTATCATATCTAATCAAATCTAATCTAAGTATCGCTAAATCAAATCTAAGTAATAATCAAATCTACGTATCTCTCCTGTGGTTTTTATTACATTTTAATGAGTTGTTTGTATCTAGGACTATTATTTGTTGTAGTATTTGTATTTGTTGTACTTAGAATTATTTAACAAATTAAATTTGTATTTATAATTTTTTATTTTTACCAATAGGTATATTATTATTAAAATAAAAACAATGTATAGTATTACGGTTATTTTGTAATCTCATATTTTTCAAAAAACAACTGGTTAAATATCTGTTTTCACCTATAGATAAATTTTATACTTTGTCCCATTTGTTTTAATTTTTATGATTTGTGATTTAACAAATTGAAACTGTAAAAGTTCAATGTTATTGTAAAATTACATCTTTTTAATTGTGTTTTATGAAGACTTCTAGTAAATAAAATTTTTTCTTCTGATTTTAATTTAATTTTTTTTCTAATTTTAGTTTTCTTATTCTAATTAGTTTTAGGATGATTTATAAAGGTATTTTTTAACAATGATATGTTTACTAGGTGAAAGCAGCAACTGGTGAAGAAGTAACTGCTGAACAACTTGGTGGTGCTGATCTACATTGCAGGTTTGTAACTGAACAGGTTATTATAGAAAATGTAATATGCAGAATTATGTAAAAATTATAAATGAATTTTTTAAGATCCTTTTTGTCATTTATTTCAGAGAAATAAATTTGTATACTAAGAAAACTAAGTTTGTATTGTTTTTTTCCCCAGGAAATCTGGCGTAACAGATTACTATGCTACTGATGATGAACATGCTCTTCATATTACTAGAAGAATTGTTAAAAATTTGAACAGGATAAAAAAACCTGAGGTAAGTTTAGTTATATCTTATAGCCATGCCATTTTTTAAAATTTGTGTGCTAAGTATTTCTTTTTCTGTGAAAAAATTTGAACATCTATTACGAGTGTTATATCTAAAATTTTGTTTCTAAATTGAATGAGAGGCAGATTAGTAAAAATAAGAGGATATCTATTTCTATATGCTATTCATATTTTGTTAAAAAGTGTATATTTTTTTTTTTAAAAGTAAATTTTGCTGTGCTATGGTCATTTTTAAATTGTACAGAATTACCTTTTTTTTATTCAGACTTTGAAATGATTGTTTAAAATATCTGATAGTGAACTTAGTATTTTCTATCGGTAGAGGTGCAAGCGTGTTAAAAAAAAAAAGAGCTAAAGAAGAAACAAAAATAGTGTGTGGAGTCCATCCGCGCGGAAGAAGTTAAACTTCGTAACCTGCAACGTTAATTGTAGAAGAATCAGCAGTCGAAGAAGGATCACTAGTTCTATTCGACGTCTCTTTTTCCTGCTCCGCTCGCTTGCGTGCTCTGTAATAACGCTAATATTGTGCATTTTTCCCTCGTGGACCTCTTGAACCAGTGGAAGTGCTTGTTGTTGCCTCATCGTCTCGCCATGGAAAATGTATTTGTATTAANTTATACTTTGTCCCATTTGTTTTAATTTTTATGATTTGTGATTTAACAAATTGAAACTGTAAAAGTTCAATGTTATTGTAAAATTACATCTTTTTAATTGTGTTTTATGAAGACTTCTAGTAAATAAAATTTTTTCTTCTGATTTTAATTTAATTTTTTTTCTAATTTTAGTTTTCTTATTCTAATTAGTTTTAGGATGATTTATAAAGGTATTTTTTAACAATGATATGTTTACTAGGTGAAAGCAGCAACTGGTGAAGAAGTAACTGCTGAACAACTTGGTGGTGCTGATCTACATTGCAGGTTTGTAACTGAACAGGTTTTTATAGAATGCTGAATTATGTAAAAATTGTAAACGATTTTTTTAAAATCCTTTTTGTCATTTATTTCAGAGAAATAAATTTGTATACTAAGACAAACTAAGTTTGTGTACCTAAGGTTTTTATGGGAATTTTTTTTTCTCCAGGAAATCTGGCGTAACAGATTACTATGCTACTGATGATGAACATGCTCTTCATATTACTAGAAGAATTGTTAAAAATTTGAACAGGATAAAAACACCTGAGGTAAGTTTAGTTATATCTTATAACCATGCCATTTTTTAAAATTTGTGTGCTAAATATTTCTTTTTCCGTTAAAAAATTTGAACATCTATTACGAGTGTTATGTATAAAATTTTGTTTCTTAACAGTTAAAACATTTTGCATGTGACTTTGCTAAATTGAATGAGAGGCAGATTAGTATAAATAAGAGGATATCTATTTCTATAGGCTATTCATATTTTGTTAAAAAGTGTATAATTTTTTTTTAAATATAAATTTTGCTGTGCTATAGTCTTTTTTAAATTGTACAGAATTACCTTTTTTTTATTCAGACTTTGAAATGATTGTTTAAAATATCTGATAATGAGCTTAGTATTCTCTATAGGTAGAGGTGCAAAAGTGTTAACAAAAAGAGCTAAGAATGAAAAAAAAATTTGAATTTAAAAAAGAAACGAATATATATATATTTTAATTCTATAATTGTTTTTAGATTAGCTTAAGTTTTTATGTGAAGCTGATAGTAACTGTGCAATTTTTCAGTTTTTTGTGTCATCCTTTACATGACTAAAATTGAAACATGATATAGTGTACTGTTTTGAGTTTCATCACTCTGTGAATTTTATTTTCTAATTAGGATAGACTGACCAGTGAAGGAACACTTAAGCTTCGCTTTTAAAAAAATCATATTAATTTCAAAATTCATAATTTTAGTTAAATGACAGTGTCAACATATTTGAACTAATTGCAAATTATGTAAAAAAATTGTAGAGAACTTACATAATATTGTTTTAAAGTTTTGGAGGTTCAAATAACAAGTAGTAAGAAGACCAAGTGAAGGAACAGCTCTTACCAGTGAATGAACACCCAGTAAAGGAACACTTAATTTTGGTTATTTTTTAATGCTCTTTATGAATTTATAAGCCATACAAATATTTAAAAACAAGCCTATTCTTGAAGTTATAACATATAAATACTTGGAAATTGTTAACTTTTTTTTAAATCATGAATTGAAAATTAAAGTGTCAACATATTAACACATACTGTTCATTCACTGGGAAATCTATACCCAGTAAAGGAACATGGCTGTTTCCTCACTGGTTAGAAGTTGTTTTTCAAATTTTTAGCATACTTTTGATGTGGAACATCACTAAAGGTACAAGAAAATTAAAGTTTATCTTTTATTTTCATTAACTTAGGAAAAAACGCAGTGAAGGAACACTTGTTCCTTCACTGGTTTTTCATCGTTTGGTGATCCAGTGAATAAACACCCTCTTATCTCAGTACTTTATAATGCTATGATGCTTAAAAAAAATAAAATGTAGCTTCAATAACTATATTTTGAATTCTCTTTTTCACAGTGACAAAAATAAAACTATTACATGCAATTAATTCCACTTCAAACATATAAATACAAACACTCACCTTATAATTTTTTCAAAGAAACAAGGTGTTGCTGAGATAATAACAAATTCAAAAATTTTTCCAGAGAAGTCTATGTGACCAGGTAATCCAAAACATTGCTAGATGACTTCCTATTGTTTGGCAGTAAGTTACCAATCAATCTAAAGAAAAACTTTCAAATTCTTATTTTTAATCAATATATATGAAATGTTCCTTCACTGGATAGTGTTCCTTCACTGGTTGGTTTACCCTATTATTCCTGGTTAGAAATTTGCTCTTAAGCTTTGTTTTTAAATGTTACAAGTTTTAGAGTTACTTACGGCTTAAGTTACCTAACTACATCCCAAAAAACGTATTATGAATACCCTGATTTAACTTCTGACAAAACTATCAGACTGCCATGTACTGAAATGTATAATTTTCACAATAAAAGTATGATAATTAGTTTGTGGCATTAATTAAACTGACACAATATATTATTATTATTATTTTTAACAGAAACTTTTATCTTTAAAGTTTTAATATCAAAAATTTATATGATTGCCCCACTTTGAAAAATGTTCTAATAGTTTAGAATGAAGAAAACAATAAAATATTTGTTAGCTTAATGTTATTTTTATTTTTTTCTATAACTTCTTAAATTATAGCATAAATAAAAAAAAATGTGTACGAAATTTCTCATTAACCCAAAGATAATTTCCAGCAAATATAAGTTTAATAATTAATTATTATTTTATCATTTAATTTAATAATGATTGAAAACTTTTTTGAATTTAAAGTTTTACATGATTTTAAACTACATAATTTTATATTCATCAATCTTTAGTTTAAATAAAAAATATGCTTGAATATTTGTTTAGAAATAACAATTTAAAAAACTTAATAAATACTTTTAATAGAAGTGTAATAGATACACACCTTTGGGTAACAGTTCTCAACCCATTTTTTCTTGCTTTATTCTTGACTTATCATCACTGCTTCCCAAGCCCCTTATATAATTTTATATAAAAATCAAATAAAAATATATCATACTAAGATAATCCGTCTCAATGTCTCCATCATTCTGATTAAGAATTTCACATGACAAATACACTTCATGATGTGTTTTCATTTTTCATGATAGCAAAATCGATAATGAAAACTTTATTTTATTTATGTACTTTAATTTCTCCTGAAATTATTTTAGTTGCTTGTTTATTGACCAGACTTGAACAATGCTGTAATAACTTTTTTTAAAATGAACCTGCATCAGAATGTTTTAAGTATAAGACAAACTGTCTTATACTTAAAACTGTCACCACTTACTGTCAAACGCATTTTGTCCTGGTGCAAAAAATTTAGAGATAATGCTCTTTTGTTAACTTCAATCTATCTTTGGTTTCATTATTAGAGATAATCCTCATATCAACATTTTCTCATACCTTAAGAACAATTTTTTTTAATACATCAATCTAGCTTTTAACTCACATTAGAATTAGTAATTTTAAAACCAGTTGTAGGTATGCTGTGGCACTACTTGCACTTATGCTTCCATAACTCTAAACTTACTAACCAACCTTAATTTGTTTTTTGCAAATACTATTATTTGTTTAATAACTAGAATTATTTAATTAAGTTTGCAGTTTTTTCTTAACAATCCCAATTGTTAGGCATTCATCCATGTTTAAAAAATACAGGTCAGAATAATTGTAAATACATGGTTGATTAAATTTAAGCTATAGCAAATAATATTGAAAAGAAAACTAAGAGCTGATTAAGAAGAACGCTTTTTTTTAAAATGTTAGCCAGGAATTATTTTACATATCTGCGAGGATAAATGTACAAATTAGTACTGAGCTTATTTACCAGGGAAAGAAGTGTCTGTAAACTGTTAGTGTCTTTGTGTTATGAGGATTTTGTTTACCCCTTCCGATAATTTAAGTATTTTCGGCAGTCCATCTCTCAAAATATCTAACAAATGATGCTAATTCAAAAGCTGAAGTTTTTGAAGTCTCTATGCTTCCACGTTATAAAAATAGCCTATTTAAATGTCTCTCATCTTACATGTGATTAAGTAGTCGAGTGGCTATGTCTGTGATAAGAGTGATTTTATACTTCTATGGTTTTAGTTCATCAGCCGTCAGTCAGAAAGACAAGGAATGAAATTTCTAGTGCTTTTGAGGCTAATGAAAAACATTTTCTGCACACAATGTGATAAAATTAAATGAGACAACAACACTATAGAAATTTTAAACCAAGTTCTTAGATAATGTTATTTTTATGTAAGTTATTTTGTTATCAACAAAAAGTTTTTTTTTTCTTTTAAATTTGTTTATTAATACTTTTGATGCTGAAAAAACTTACTTTTGATGTAACAACACTTCATCCTTGATGAATGTTTTACTTTAATATTTTACAAAATTCTTTTTATTTATTTAAGGTTACCATTTCTGAATCTGAAGAACCTAAATATGCTCTTGATGATTTATATGGTATTGTTGGTGACAATTTGAAAAAAACTTTTGATGTCAGAGAGGTACATTTGTTTTCATTTATTCAAGAACTATCATAATTTAATTACATAAGTAGTTAAGATGAATTTAACATTGTAGTCTGTAGTCCATTGTATTTGTATATCTTATTACCATATTTTGATATAACTGTTATGAAATCTTAACATTTCATATATTTTTTAATTGTTTTTAAAGTAAAAATATTTAAAATTAATTTGAGGTCATAAAATATTAGTATTTATTAAATTTTTGGAAAACAAACCTTTCATTAAATTTTTTTTAAAGGTAATTGCCAGGCTTGTTGATGGTAGCTATTTTGATGAGTTTAAAGCTTTATATGGAGATACATTAATAACAGGTAAAGTTTATTAATTATTGTAAATAAATTAGTATTATCAACTTATTTATTGCTATTTTAATGTTCTTTTTTCTGAAATTATAGTGCATACTTATTTTAATATTGAAAATGATTATTGTTTTTTCTTTTTAATAATAATGATGTCTCTGACTAATTTTTTACTTAATTTGGCTTTTCTTTTTATTTATAAAAAATTAGTTTAAATCTTGTGTTAACAATTAAAATTGAAGCATCATTTTTATAGCATTTTATAAGGTTATACAATGTTACTGGTATAGCTTATATTTAAAGCTTATGTGTATTTTGTTATACTATTTTATTCTATACAGCTTGTACGCATTTTCCGAAACGTCAATTAAAATTTTTTTATTTTACATGATTTTCAAAATTGCAAAATATAGATTAGTTATTTAAAAAATATGGATTAGTTATTTAAAAAATATTGATTAGTTTTTTTAAAAAAAATTTAAGTTGAAATCTCGCTGCTTTAGTAACATCTTAGTTTTGTTATTTCATCATTACTTCTTTCACATTATGTTTACATTTTTACTTTATTTATTTATTAAATAAATTAACCAATATATTTAAAAATATTTTTATGTTTTTAGCTAGATATTTACAAATGTGATGTTTATAAAACTTTAATTTGAATTTAAACTATTTAGGTTTTGCTCGACTTTATGGATATCCAGTTGGTATTATTGGAAATAATGGTGTGTTATTTTCTGAATCTGCATTAAAGGTAATATACATTGATGAGGGTACTGATTCAACAATTCTTTTGTGTAGTTATATTATTATATATTAATGTTTATAAATGAAAAATAATTATAATTTAGTAAATGTAAAATGTTATTTTAAAGTATAAAGCATTTTATATATTGCTGGTTTACCTATTGATGCCAGAAATTTCTAATCTTTGATAAAAGTAGCATTAACCATGGAAAGAAGCAGATGGCAGATATTTATTTTCTGTTGGTGTGCACGTTTGGAAAGGGAAAGGAAGGGCCACATTGTCTGACTAGTATCAAAATTACATGATGTACTTGCTATAACTTTTAATATACAGAGTTTTAAAAAGGTTTTTCCATGGCAAGGTGTGTTGTACTAAAACTTGTTAAAAAATTCTACATATTAAAACTATTTCTCATATTAAAATTTGTTAAAAAAAATTCTGTGTAATTTTGATCTTGATTAACATTTAGTTTTGAAGAAGAAAAATGTAAAACTTCTCTACACAAGGATAATTAAAACTATGTTTTGTCAACTATTTGTTAAATTAAAATAAATAAATGCTATTTATGTGTCTTGTATGTTATTATCTATTTCTTTTTCTGTTTTTTTATAAGTGTTGTGAGCATTACCAAACTGGTGTTTAATTTGTGTGCATTTTGTGCCTATTCTTTTGAATTTCGTTAATTTATTTTGTATTTTTGTTGTAGGCTACTCATTTCATTGAATTATGTTGTAAAAGAAAGATTCCTTTAATTTTTCTCCAAAATATAACAGGTATTATTCATTAAAATGTTTCTGATTATGAATGTATATTATACACATTTTTTTAAAAGCTTAATTTAAAAGTTTATTTGGGTTGATTAATTTTTTGTGTATTATGAGAATTATTATTAATTATTTGAATTTTTAACTGCGAGATTAGATACATAAAAATGACAAACGCAAATTTGCTACCTATAAGTCTATAATTATTAAATATAATGTTACTGGCTTTATCATACTTGCCAAATTTTCTTTTACACTAGTTTCCCTGCCAACCAGATTTTTCGCACATTTCTCTTGCTTTTAATATATTATTAAAGATTTTTAACAATTTCCTGAATTTTTTTCTTTAGACTTTAATCATTTTAAGCTGCTAAATATTCTTTAAAAATCAAAATATTGGTAGGTTAAAGATTTGAATTAGCAGCTTTAATAGATCACTTAAAACTAAATCCCCATTCGGCATCATTTATTGTATCTTCACCTATCTATTTTTAGTCAAAGGATTAAGATGCTGCATTTCTGCTTATAATTAGACCTTAAACTTTTATTTAAGAAAATTGAATAACTTTAAATGTATGCATTTCAAATCAATTAAAATTTTTAATGTTTTTTTTCTATTTGTATGGAGCCACATTTTGATTTACGGTACTTTAAAATGTGTTATATTTTCTGTAGGTTTTATGGTGGGACGTGAAGCTGAAGCTGGTGGAATTGCTAAACATGGTGCTAAAATGGTTAATGCAGTTGCATGTGCCAAAGTTCCTAAATTAACTGTAATTATTGGTGGGTCTTATGGTGCTGGGAATTATGGAATGTGTGGCAGATCATATTCGTAAGTTATAAATAATGACTACAATTAAACTTTTGTACTTGAATTTTTTGTAAAAATAAAGATTAGATTGCTTCAAATGTTCTTAATTATCCCACCAAAAACAAACATATTTGTTCTAAACTTAATATTTTCTCACTGTGTTCCAAAATGAAAATGTTTTGGAGATTATCTTAAATCTGCATTAAAATTATTCATAATATTTATACTGCATTAAAAAGACAGCTTTTATTTACAATTCCAAGCAAAGGAAAGTTATTGCTCCAAAAGGCTGTCTGTGAACCTCCTTTTTTTCTACTGTTCCAATCTTTACAGTCAAAAATTTCTTTTTAATTAAGTAATATTTCTTATTTAAAAATTCATTTATCTCCATTCATGTGTATTTGCAATTTTAATAATAAAACTTTGCAAAATTAGTTTGAATTTTTATTATGAAGTAATGCTCTTTAGTTCATTTAAATCAATGTATGACTGAGTTTATTTTTTATGGAGCCATTTCTAAAACCTTATGATAAAGCACTTTTTTGAATATTTTTTTTCTTTTTCTTTTTTTAGTTTGTCTTAAAATAATTTGTCTTGTGTATTCTCTGCTTGGGTAAAAAAAAACCATTTTCATTATGAGTGAGTTATCAAACCAAATATTAATAATTGAAGATCTTAATGAAAGATTATTTTACATAATATTTTAATTTATTTCATCAGTTTTAGAGACATAATATTTAAAAAAATATTTTAAAGGTACAAAGCTCTTTACAAAACGAAATATTGTAATGGTACAAAAATTTTACGAAACATTTTTTTTTCCAATAAAAATAGTTCTTTTTTAATGACCTGTAAGAAAATAATAGACTCTTTACATATGGGCATAACATGTTTTCAAACTCAAAACGCTATTTTAATAGGTGGTGGATACTGTAATAAAATTCCTATAATAAATAGAAAAGAAATATTGTTTTGTATTTACAAAACACAATTAGTATTTTATAATCATTAGAGATTTTGTTAAAATTAATTATCTTGTAAAGTAAATTCTATAATAAGTGTAGATATTTCGTTTAATAAAATCAGTCGCTTTATAAAATCAAATGTTCTCAGAAGGGATGTTATTTTAATAGGCAGGATTATTTTAATAGCTTTGTAATGAAATTCCAAGAAATAGAGAAGAAAGATTCTTTTGAATTTACAAAACACATTCAACGTTTTATTAATCATTAGAGATTTTGCATTCTGTTGAAAATTGTTATCTTTTATAGTTTTGTATAAACTTTTATATTTTGGAATGCGGTTACTTAATGTATGTTTCATTAAAACATAAACTTTTTTAATGAATTATTTCTGTATTATAGGCCACGATTCTTGTATATGTGGCCAAATGCTAGGATTTCTGTCATGGGTGGTGAACAAGCTGCTAATGTCCTTGCTCAAATAACTCGGGATCAGAGAAAAAGAGAAGGCAAACCTGTAAGATGCTTAACTTTTTTTCTGTTTTTGTTCAATGAGTTCTCTATTACCAGTTTTACTGAGTAACCTCTAACGATGAACAATTTGTTTAATTTAGCATATACGTTTTCTTGATAATGAACAATTTGTTTAATTTAGCATATAAGTTTTCTTGATAATGAACAGATTGTTTAATTTAGCTTATAAGTTTTCTTGAAAATGAACAGATTGTTTAATTTAGCATATAAGTTTTCTTGTTAATGAACAGATTGTTTAATTTAGCATATAAGTTTTTTTGATAAGTTGTTTGCCATAATGTTTTATGGCAGACTTGAACATTTAATTAAAATTTAACAAAACATTTTGTATTTAATTTTTTCTGTTTTCAAATTTTTTTCAATTTAGTCAGATAATTTTAAAAAATTTTTACTTGCATCCCTTCATAATTTATATTCTCTTTCATTAACATTCCTTATTGTTAGTGTGTCTATTTTAAGCTATAATTTTAGGTGATTAAAAAATTATTGTAAAAGAATCAATTACATGTGTTTTTCAATTCCCAATAGCTGTGGTAGAACATGTAAAATATTTTTCCTCATTTGATATTCATCTTGCACATAAACTTGGAAGATTTTGTCCTTGGAAGTTTAATTCACTACTTTATCACATCCTAAGAAAAGGCAATAAACATCGCTTGTTACAACTGTATTAGCATGTATGAAAATAGACACTTATACAAATTTTACTTTCTTTAAAGTTACTTGCTAAAAGTTTAATTTTTTTAATAAATATACTGTGTTACATTATGACCATCATGTGCTTCTTTGATATGCTATTGTTCTAAGCATCTAAAGCTACCTTGATATTTTTACTTGTCGTGCAGTAATCGGCTCTCTATCGACAACATTTTTTCTCCATAGTAAACACCTTTTTTAACCTCTAGAGGGGTTTGCCTTCTTCAGGTAAATACAGATTTACTTAAGGCATAGTAATGTTTCCTCTTTTTATTTTGTTTCATTTCCTTTTTATTTTTGTGTCAGACATAGCTTGTATTTATATTATAATATGATTTCATTAAATTGAGTACATAATAAAATGGCCACAGTATAGCCACTCTCCAGCTTGATAGCGTTAAAATTTTCAGTCATGTACATAAAGTCACCCAAAAAATTTAAAGTTCTGAAGTTTTAATTAGTTTCATTGACAAAAGAATTTATTTATTGATTGCTGCTATATCATTTGAAGTTTAAACTTAAAGACAGTGTATTATTTTTTCTACTTGTTATTAAGTTAGAAATAAATATGTAACTGTATAATGTTGAAAATATACTGATTTTATTTATGTTATTTTTAATTTTAGTGGACAGAAGAAGAAGAAAAAGCTCTGAAAGAGCCTATCATTGAACGATTTGAAGAAGAAGGTCATCCATATTATTCATCTGCTAGGTAATTTCTCAACTTTAAAACTATAATTAAATAAAAAAAAATTAATATATTTTTAAATTAATATTTATAACTTTTAATATTTAACTTCTTCAAAGTTATTCATATCTTTTTTCAATATTCTTATTTTTGTGGGGGATAATAACTCAATCAAATATTCAATAATTATTTGTTTTAAATTTATGTAATGAATCAGTTTTTCATTTATTTAAAAATTAACATACCAAGTCCCAAATGAACTTCTTAAAAGCTATCATATGTTCATTAGTAGTTTAATAAATTAAATATAGATAGGAGTAAATTTAATAAAGAATTTCAATAAAAATAATCATTGCAGATTTAGTTAGAATAGATTTAAAAAAAAATCTTGTATTTTGCTTCTCGATATGGCCAAGATCATTGTTTATAACAAGGTGAAAAAAATTTCCATTAATCTCTTTTAAGATAGAACTTGACTGTAGCTGTTTGTATGCAGGCTTGCTGAAGGCTCAAATTTAATCTGACGGAGCATTAACTCTAGTTGCTCCAAAGAGCATTAGTTACCTTTTAAAAACAAATAGACTGCTTACATTAAGTTAAAGAAACATTCTTCTGGTGAGGATGGAATTGTAGAAAACATGTTTTGGTATTCCATTTTATTTGAATTTTGATGTTGTGAAGAGCATTGCTTTTGCTGAATTTTTTTTCTCTCTCAATATTTGGCGTAATAGACTTTTAAAGCTTACATAAATAAAATTAGATGTCTTTTTCAGAAGTTTATTACTTTTTTCAAAATTTAAATAAATTAGGAAAAACTTTTTTAAATCATCAATAAAATTTTAACTTTTAATCTATGGATAAAAGTTTTTTTAGAAATATCCTTAGATAGGTTGAGGTAGTTTTTGGATGTGATAAATTGTTTTTAGTATTTTAAAATATCTTGGAAATCTATATTTTTCATTCCATGAATATGTTTTGACAAGTCAGAATCAGAACTATTGGTTAAGCATAGCAGCTTCAACAATGTTTTACATTGTAGAAATTAAGTTATTTTGTTATTTATGAAGTTGTTTGAATTATGATTAAAGTCACATTTTAAATTGAGTGATTTTATATTTTACCCTGTTTTTTATATTCTGTTCTAAAGTTATTAAGTTTTTAGTTATTTGATAAGGAATTTTTTTAAAGAATTTATTTATGAAAACTAGTTTTTTACACCATATTAATTTCTTTTGTAGACTTTGGGATGATGGTATAATTGACCCGGTTGATACTAGGAGAATTCTAGGATTAAGTTTGAGTGCTGCAATGAATGCAAAAATACCAGATACTGAATTTGGAGTATTTAGAATGTAAACAGTCGAAATTACTAAACAGAATTTAGTAACTTTTGAATGAATTTGTTGATATTTTATTGCTTGTAACTATTTTTATATTATTGTATTTGCTATATAAAATCTATTTTGTTACATGAATTTTTATTTTTTGTTATTAAATTGTTTTTCAAAAACTGTTGCTATTGTTCAGTTGTATCATTATTGGTGTTTTTTTTGTTGCAACTTTTGTTAAACATTTTGAAAACAAATTGTTAAGTTTGTTCTGTTTCAGTATTTTTTGCTGTGTACAGCTCATATTGTAGTTGACTTTTTTTAATTAATAATTAGACTTAATAATTTTACCTAAGTTAAAATTTATTGATGTGGCTTTATAACTCAAATAGTGGTTTGGAATATCATATTTTATTTATAAAAAAAAATCGATTTCAAAAATAGAAGCAGATTCATAAAATGCGATATCTATATCTGTGTTTGCTGTAAAAAATTATATTATTCTAAAAAAACACAATTTTTTGTGCAAGCTGTTTTTAAGCAAATAAATATAAATAAATGTATAATTTTATAAATTATCATTTTTTTAAAATAAGGTATAGAAAAAATAATAAATAAAATTAAGGATGCTTTTCGGGCTAAGTTTTTAAGTTAAGTTAAAATTAATCAGGTTAAGTTAAAATTTTGTATTATAAGAGAAATTTAAAATTCTTATATGGGTGATTCTCACAAAATATGACAATTCACTGTCCCTTGCTCCAAGATCTAATACTATAATACTAAAAGAACTTTTTTTAAAAAAATAATTAATAAATTGCATTGCTGATAGCATTTTAAAATGACTTTGCACTAGCATTGACTCTTTTGTATAGTTAAAAAATTTAATTGAACTTCAAAATGTCATTTTCCTGGCACATCCCAAACAATGTTTCCAATAATAACTAACTTCAAAACTCACCTCTTTGTGTGCTCTGTAGCACTTCGCCAATGACTGGGGAGCATTTATTAGATTGCCCCTCTCTTCTTGACATTCGTTCCTCTGATGACTTTTGTGCCCTCTCACCTTCTGGAGCTACTTCAGTATTGTATTGGACTGCAAGANAAAAAAAAAAAAAAAAAAAAAAAAAAAAAAAAAAAACTTCAAAACTTCCCATAAATTTTTCAATATCTAATTTTTTTTATCTCAACCAGTGTAAACATTTCTAGAATATACGCAGAGGGTATTATTAACAAAAACTTTGCTTAAAATAATTTTTTCTGTCAATAATTTGTTTGTCCCAAGAAAATCTGTCATTTTCCTGGCTACTTTTATTTAGTAGTTTATATCCAAAATAGATAGCCCCAGCAATAAATATCTTATGTTAATAGATTAATTAGATACCCTCATATGAACATGTCTTGTTGAATGAATAAAGAACTAATTTTCTGGTTCAAAATCTATTTCAAAAAATTTTTCAAGACGAGTAGGTTTTTGTGTTGTCATTTTCCTGGCTGCTTGAAATCATTAGTAACATAAACTACATAGATTTATCTGAGTTATTTTAAAAAATCCTGTTGTTTCCTGCAGAATGTAGACGTCTTAGGCCAAAATATTTAATTAAAGTAAAGTTATATTCTATAAAATGGCGAATTTGTCATTATCCTGGCTGTCATTTTCCTGGCTTATGAATTTCAGAACATTGAAGTGTTACCAGAAATTTTTATAAACTGTTAATACTGTATGGAGGAAAAGCAAATATTAACCTAATACCAAGTTTATGTATGATTGTAATATGGTTGGATGTAATCAAAGTTATTTATTTATTTAATGATTGATTATTATACACAATTTTATTCTGTACATATCAGCAACAAAAGAAAATTTAATTCTTTCTACAGTGGATAAAAAGAATTAATTTAAGCAATTTATGGTCCATCTAACATAAAGGCTTAAGTTGAGTTACTCACTATTAACTTAAAATGACTGTTTTTTAAACTTCTAATGACTGTTTTTTGAACTTCTAAGCTAATATGTCATTTTCTTGGCATTCAAGATTTGGTGAATTTCTATTTTATTTTTTTTTCTCGAGCAAACGTCAACAAACTACACTGCTGTCTGTAAGATATTAATAAATGTAACTAAAGAAGTATACAAAAAAAATTTTAGATTATTTTGAAGACTTTAATTTTGAAGAAATGTTTTGGTCTGAATTGTCTAATTAAAAAGAATCACCCATATATCATATTTCTCATAATGAAAAGGTGAATGTAAAGTTTGCATTACAATGCAAAAATAAAAGACCAGATTGAAATGGAATTAAATTTTTTTTTTTTCTTCTTCTGTATTTTATGGTGCACTATTATCTGTGCTTAAAATGTGTTTTTTTCTTCTTCTTTCTATTCTATTTCTATTAAATTTGCCCACTTTCTTTTTGCTTTTTCGTTTATTCAAAGCATTCTTTTAAAAATTTAAAGTTTTTAAAACAAATCCTTATCAAAGTAAATTTCTACCTTAGTTAAGTGTGTGCTAGAGTACTGAAATAATTATTACTGCTTATAAATGAAGTAAGTTTCATTTATTGCATTCAGTTTGGAGCTTTTATAGTTTATTTTAAACTGATTTTTGAAATGAAGCATTTATTTCGAATTTAAAGTCTATAATAGCACTCATTTTTAATTATTTTTTTTTATTTTATAGTTTTTAAAAGCTATTCCACTTTGAAAAAATAATGATAGACTATTAAAAAATGAAGATTATGTGTTTCAAATAAACTTAAATAAGTTAATTAGCTCAAAATTTCATTGTTTCATTAAGGATGTCATGTCAATTGAAAAAATAATAATGAGCACTTTTAATCTTAACTAATTGGGAACATTTCCTGTTTGCATTACTTAAAATTTGGGGTTATCCTAAGCTCCAATTCTGATTGATGTTTCACATAATTTTTGTTGATATAGCAAAAGGGATAGCAGTGTATGCAACAGGTTTTTAGTGATCATTTTTTTTTTTTTTTTTNAAAAAAAAAAAATCGATTTCAAAAATAGAAACAGATTTATAAAATGTGACATCTATATTTGTGTTTGCTATAAAAAATTATATTATTCTAAAAAAACACAATTTTTTGTGCAAGGTATTTTTAACAAATAAATATAAATAAAGTATAATTTTATAAATTATTATTTTTTTAAAATAGGGTATAGAAAAAATAATAAATGAAATTAAGGATGCTTTTCGGGTTAAGTTTTATGTACCATAAAATTTTTTATTTTAAGAGAAATTTAAAATTCTTATATATCATATTTCTCATGATGAAAAGATGAATGTAAAATTTGCATTACAATGCAAAAGTAAAAGACCAGATTGAAATGGACTAAAAATTTTTTTCTTCTATATTTTATGGTGCACTATTATCTGTGCTTAAAATTTTTTTTTTCTTTCCATTATATTTCTATTAAATTTGCCCACTTTCTTTTTGTTTATTCAAAACATTCTTTTAAAAAATGAAAATTTTTAAAATAAATCCTTATCAAAGTAGATTTCTAATACAGTTAATTGTGTGCTCAGGGGTCTGTCTAGGTTTTTCAGAGAGGTTCCTATTTTGTGAAAATTTAGACATAATATGTGAAAAACTAAAAATTATACTAAAAAATCAACACAAAAACAGAGTAAAAATATAGATTTATTGTTTCTTAAGGGCACAAAAATAAAATTTTAAGAAAAAGTATTTTGTGAAACTACCGTTTTTCCAAAAGTTAAATTTGTGAAACTACCGTTTTTCTTAAAATTGAATTTGTGAAGGTACCGCCGAACGGTAATAAATTCGGCCTGGACAGACCCCTGGTGCTAGAGTACTGAAATAATTATTACTACTTATAAATGAATTAAGTTTCATTTATAGCATTCAGTTTGGAGCTTTTATAGTTTATTTTACACCCATCTTCAAAATGAAGCATTTATTCTGAATTTAAAGTCTATATTAGCACTCATTTTTAATTATTTTTTTTTATTTTATAGTTTTTAAAAGCTATTTCACTTTGAAGAAATAATGATCGACTATTGAAAAATGAAGATTATGTGTTAAAAATAAACTTAAATAAGTTAATTAGCTCAAAATTTCATTGTTTCATTAAGAATGTCATGTCAATTAAAAAAGTAATAATAATGAACACTGTTAATCTTAACTAATTGGGAACATTTCCTGTTTGCATTACTTAAAATTTGAGATTATCCTAAGCTCCAATTCTGATTGATGTTTCACATAATTTTTGTTGATATAACAAAAGGGATAGCAGTGTATGCATCAGGTTTTTGGTGATAATTTTTTTTTGAAATGGAGTGCTACATTGTTTCATAGATAGAAGTGAAATGCGTTTTTATTTTATCACTTTCTGATGCTGTATCACTAAGTCTTGTGTTAAAACAAGTTATTGATAAATAAGTGAATCATAGTTATGATAGGAAAACACATATTTAAAAGAATAACCAGTAGCAAAAATAATCAAAATTAGATTGAAAGATTACCTATAAAATATATTTATTTTATAAAAATTTTTAGAATGCTGAATTGCGAATCATACTCATCAAAATCAAGTAAAATCTGTGCTTACAAAACATCAAGTGTACAATTTAATAACCATCATCCACAATCATAGGTTTGCTAATTTCGACCAAACATATTTAAGAATAAATCACTTAATTATGGTTGTTTTTATGAAAACCAAAAAGAAAAGTTCATGCAATCTCAAATCCATGCTTATTAGCTTTCAAAACTGTTCTCACTTCATTAAAAACAAGAATTTTAAAATTTTGTGTTATTCACAAGGTACCAAATAGTAATTTAAGAAGGCTTCAACTTCTACACTGGTTAGATTATAGACATCTTAGAAACATTAAAATAAATAATAAAATTTCTGAAAACAGTATTTATGTCTTTAAAACACGTCTTAAATTTTTTAAAATACAGAATGGCCTGCATTTAATAATGAGTGTGAGAAATCCAAAAATGCTTGCTAAATCTGGTTGCTTCTTAAATCCAACTTTATGGTTAGTACAATGAATTTAAAACATAAACTTTATATATAAATGGCCTCTAGATAATATTTATCAAGAGGAGAAAATTTGGAATTGTATAAGAATTATTGAAATATAACTTTGTTTTTTACAAAATTTTGTTTAATTAAAATTTTCTGGAAAAACACTTAATTCA